TGGATTCTGTGTTGAACACTTTTCAGTTAATGGAAGTCTGTGTACATGCTTTTCAAAAAAGAAAAAAACCTACAGAATTTTGAAGTGCTAGGTTTTAAAGCTTGTCCTAATTTGACTTTTCCTAATCTGGTCTCTGTCTCTATCCATAACAGTAGCCAAAGCAGGAATTATTGTTTAGTTCATTGATTTGAGCAGTTTCAATGTTGCTTGTTAACACTTTTTGTTTCTAATTCCATCAAAATGAGCCTCAAAGCAATGAAAATAAGATAGTGTGGGTTTCAACATACTACAATCTCTAATGAAGTTGTAGAAGACCTATAAAAAAGAAGATGAAATGCCAAAAAGGAAAGCATACATTAGTGATAATTGGAAAAGATTGTAATTTACTGACATACATAGTTGTACTTCAGTGTTGTACTTCCACATGCATGCATGCGACCACATACACATGCATGCAGAAGTCCCATCTTGCCCTTACTGGCTATTATTTAGTTTTCTCCCTATATAACAATATATATATTGTTTTTTATATATATATACACACACTATGCATGTTTTTGTAAAGATACATACACACACACACACACACATATACATACATATACACATATTGGTATATATTGGTTATATTGTTTTATTGTTATATTGGTGTAGCACAGAGCAGCTGTGCTTGGCTTAAGTCAGACCTACCATTTATTGCCCACCACTGTAGAAGCTGAACCCTAGGGTCTTTTCCTAAAGACTTTCTTTTCTGCTGTTCTTTTGAGGACAAGATACAAGTTGGATGACTTGTTGTGGCAGCTTGCTTCTACTCATCTATTTTTGGATGTGAGGTCACCTCCATACAATATGGTGGAAGTGTATCTGCCGTATGATGGAGAGATGCAGACTTCAGAAGTGACAGCCAAAAGGAAGCTCTTTTGCCATCATTGATGATTTACCAAGTTCAAAAGCCTAATCCCATCCCAGCTCAGAGAAGGCCTGGGGGAGATGGAGCCAAGAGCAGGCTGTATGAAATGCAATGACTGTTTTTGCTAAGCCAGCTGCTCTTCAGATACTGGGAGAAAATTAGCCTTTGGCAGATGTATTAGGTAGATTGAATGTATTATCCATGCACAAAAGGTCCATTCCTATGTCAGAGGAGAGGCAAAAATGCTTCTAATCCTTCCCTGCTACAAAAGACAGGTATTTGCCTTACCTGGCCAGAGAGACTGGATGCCATAAATATAGAAGTTCCACTGTGGATCAACCATGCAATTCCTAAATATTGAAGATAACCAAACATTATTGCCATAAACATAATTTCCGCTGCCACACACTGTTAACATTTTCCAGTTAGTATGTATATTTTACTAAAAACAGACCTAACAATGGCTCAGGCTTTTTTTGCTTTTCTTAAGCCATAATGAGCTTTCAATCAAATATATGAAGGTTCAGGAACAAAACATTAAAACCTGCTAGATCAAAAATCCTACTTAACAAGAAATTAGATTTGAGACTATACATCAATAAACTAGGAATAAAACTCCTTGAAAGGAATGTTTTGGTGATCTAAGCAGCAGCACCTAGAAATTCAGAATAAAGGCTAAACGGATAAGTAACAGATGCAGGGTAAAACGTCAGATATCCTAGACAATTAAATTTGTTCTCTTGGCATTCTCAGAAGTCCCATTCAGATTCATTTGTTTTGTTTGTCTGTTTGTTCTGGTTTAGTGACCTTTTACAGACATGCTCTGTTGGGCCTGGATATTCAAAAGCTTGAATCACTGTCAGAGCCACCGATGATAATATTGCCATCTCCTGCCCTGGGGGGTAATTGGTCAGAGTCACAGGAGGTCAGGGAGTACTACTACCATGCATCCTTTCACATTGCTCTCAGAGTAGGATGTTGATTTGATTTGAGTAACATCCAAATTCCTCAGACCATCAGTGTTTTCTAGGTTGGTAAGTCATTAACTGCCAACTAAAAATCTCAGGGTTAACTAAAACACTCAACGTTGTGAAAATAACCCCTTCAACTTCAGCTGGCATTTAGCTGAAGGTGAATTTTTAGTGTTATTAAATCAATTTGCATTGCCAGTTACACAATAGACCAAGGGATAATCCCCGATTAGATGAAAGCCTGTAAAGGTAGCTTTTTTTTCTCATATTGGTATATTGTTTCTAAAAATATTTTATAGAGAACAAAAAGAATATAAAATGGAAAAGTTAAATATTTGGAAATATTTTGAAGTGACTTTGCAGCTACCATGACATTTCATCAAAAAAGTGTTGATTAGAATGTGCAGAATCTGAGTTTCAAAACTTCACAAAGCACTTCAGGCTTATCTCACCCTACCTATGTCATGAATGAGCTTAAACCTAGATTCTTATACCTTTTAATAAAGAAAAAATAGACAAAACTGAGCCAAAGAGGAAAAAAAAAGAGGTATTACAGAACTCCAACTCCCTTAGTTTCTAGACACTTCATGTGTGCTTATGGAAATCCTTCTTCTGAGAGGCTTAAAAATCCAAGACAAAGTTTGCAGGTTTGGCGAACAATGGCAGCTTGTACATAGTAATGACAGGACTATGTGATTTGTACTATGAAGTAACTAGGGCAAATTTCCTCTGTTCTCCCCAGATCAGGTAACTTGTCTTTGAATGAGGACCAAGAGGGCAATCTTTTCTCCTTTGGCTAGCATTATGCTTTCTGTGTGTGAGCATCTGTCTTCCTGTAACCAGTGTTAGACCTTCATTTTTATATATATGCTAATTACACAAAAGTGAATGGAGAAAATTGGTTGACAGAGTTTGATATATACCAAATTTTCATGTTTATTTTAAAGAGGTTCACATATAATGCTTATATTTTTCTATCAAGACCTGGAAACTTCAGTCTTTCAGGAGAGAGGTAGACTTTTATCCACATTTTCCTGGACACTATTTCTGGGCACTGAAGGGTTCACTGCCACAGGCTTTAATGTCAGACAGTTTTTATATTTTAAAAAGCTAATTCTTAGTATATTCTAGGGATTTTTTTATGATTCATTTGTGCTTACTGAAGTTGCACTCGTGATAATTACACATCTGGCACTACAGACAGAGTAAAATTATATTCAGTATTTTTTAGTGTTTTTATGATTTCTTTGAGTTCTTTGTAGTTAGACTCATGCTAATGATACCTGGCATTATACACAGAGTTGTATTAATTAAGATAATATAAGAAATATTTGAGCTCTGCAGAGAATTTTTTTGTTTAAAAAAATTGGAAAATATTTCAGTTGTGCAGTGGAATGGTAGAAGATTTTATTGACCTACAAAACCTGTAAATAATGAATCCAGTCATCTCTAACTCATTGGTATTAAACGATCATATTTCAGTGATAATTTAGGTATTTATTAATGATACATATATAAAATACAAAATATTTCTATCCTTTATTAGCTAAATACCTTTTCTTTATATATTTTATTTTTTTAAAATGGTATTATTGAAAGTGTTTGGTAGAAGCTTTGACATATTGCTAGAAAGCCTGCTTTTTAATAATTTCTATATACATACATGAATGGCAGTTATAAGTAAGCTGTGGAAATGTGTGAATTTAACAGAAAATATCTCTGTAAAGGCCTGAGTGTCCCCTCACTTAGGAAAGTCTTCCAGGGAGCTGCTGCTTATTAAACTGAAGATGTTTTAAGCACCACACTTGAAAAGTTATTTTAAGGGAGTTTATTCAACAGTGTTTATATTACTTCCCTCTAAGTATAGCAATCTATTTGAAAAATAACATTTTCAAATGTAAGTGTATAACATTATTCTACTAAATACATTCTTAGACACCTAAGAAATCTACTTGAGGTTTCTTTCCAGTTGTAAAGAACCTTTTCACGTGAAAAGTCAAATCATGCAGAATATACCTTTGATGTGGAAATAAACATGGTGATCAGGAAGCGTAGTGGGCTTAGCCAGACTGAGAAGCTGTAGCCAGGGTTGTGTGTTATCTTCCCATACGCATTATGTAGGATTTGCAGTGGCATATACTTTTCTATGTGTGTATCTGCTGCAATAAAGTGAGGGACTAGTGATTTATAGGAGATTCTCTTGGTCAACATCTCTAGAGTTATATATTCTGTTTTATTTCTGATATCAAACTAGACTGTGGCCCTATGCTGCTGCTTTGGTCTTCTGATCAGTGGAATGACTTCATGATATTAATTATGAGACAGCATTGAGGGGCTGTCAGATCTAAAATTATTTTACTTTCTCTCTGCATTGCTACCAACACAAAATGAAAATAGAACCTTAGAATCCTACTATATCCTTATACTTTAGCAGCTAGCCTTCACCAGACGTTAACAGCTGGCCTGAGTGCTAGCCTGAATGTGAGTGAGAATTTTTTTGCGTAAAGAAAGGTGAATTGAGAGTTTTAGATACAATACATCCGTAGAAGCCTGTGTTAATTCTGCAGTTAATTCTCATTCTTACTTAGTAACTCACAGATATATGTTAGATATCTATTTGAATATGCATTTTACAGGTTTGGCTTTTTTCCTATCAAAAGAGTGAAGTAAGCAATCAAATGATATATGGGTTCAATACAGTAGTATGTTTTGAAACCCCATGATTTGGTTGGAGTGCTCAATTCTTGATGTTATCAATAGGAGCGGACTGAGAAATGACCAAATCTATTCCTCTACAAGAAATTTCTGTTGAACATATATTTTTATTCTGAAATACTGGGCTTTGAATAGCTCTTAACTTGTATGTCTTTTATTAGTTTGTAAAATACTGACGTGTATAATTTGTCAGCTCTGTTGTGTTCTGATTCTCAGTTTATGTATTTGATTTCATAACTGACTACCTTTCAGACAGTATCTGGTACTTGCTGCTTTCATTGCAAATGGGGAGGCTGACAGGGCAATATGACAGGTTAAATGGTCTCGAGAAGTCAGAAGACATCCCTCAGATTAATTAGTTTCTTCTTCAAAATCCCTCTGTTGAAATACTCACCTTTCCTGTCATGCTGCAGGCCATCCAACGAGAAAAGCCTGAGAAGTACAGAAAACTGCAAGATGCCAGCAGATCAGCTGAGGCCCTGGTGGAACAGATGGTGAATGGTAATTACATGGGAGTTGATTTAGATAATCTTCTTAGGGATTTGATAAATGCACAGGTTCATATTTATCACAAGAATTATATTAGCAAATACTGTCTAAATGGAACACTAAAATAATGTTACCTTATATTTCTTTTATTATTTCTTAATGTTAAAACTGTTAATTAGTCAAGAGAAAAAATCTTACCCCTTTAGTACCATGAATAGAAATGTGTGTAAAATGTGCTCACAGTAATGAATTGTATATGAACAATCTGTTCTGCACAGAGACTTAAGTTGTAATCTTATTTTCTGAGTATGCTAATCTTTTGAAGGTGCTTTAACTCATCTGAGTTAGAAAGCTCTGAAGGCATTACTCTGAACAGCATGAAAAAAGTGCTTTCTGACTTATAGTATACAGTGTATGTTTTGTAATATACAAATTGCTGTAATGTTCTGTATCAGAAATTATAATATTTTATTGAGTTTTGGAAGAGATTTTTTGCATTTGGCTCGTCAAAGATAATAAATGTCAAAGCTTATACAACTCTTAAAATGGAAACTTAGTTGTAAGTTTTTTTTATTTTTATTAATGATTTTTTTAAATATTGTGTCTTTTTTAGTTATTTTTAAGGGAAAATAAAAATCAATGAAAGGTAGATGGAAGTAAAATTGTAAGTCATGCCATTGTCCTTGATATTAAAGAATGTCTAACTTTGCAATAAAATATTAAACAGAGGCCAACATCTGTCATACTGATATGATTACCAAAAATATAGATGTTGAATGAACTGACCTTCAGAACATATATTTTATATTAAATTGTTATAATGAAGAACCAAGAATTTAATTTCTAAAAATGAAATGCTTTGAGTTTGAGCTACTTACTGGCCAAGCTGAACAAACTGTATGGAATCCTAAGATTTTTTTTTTTGCTTAAGTATGAAGGTGTAATATTTTAAAAGTGACCATATTTAATGTGTGGGGCTTATTTAATTATCATTACTGTAAGAGCTGATGTAAGGGTTCCCTTCCTAGGCTCAGTGAGTAGACTGAAGGGAGTCTGGTAACATTTACACACTCTTTGAAATCATTTGGGTAGTTTTCCATGGTGGATCACATGTCAAAAAAAACGAGATAAATTTTCATGTTTTCTGCCTGGGAGAACTGATTATACAGGACTTTTAATATAGTATTTGAAATCTGTGTACTTCTGCATCCAGGTTGTCATTTTTGGGCAGAATCTGTCTAGGACACATTTATCAGTGACCCATTCTTCCTTTGGCCAAATGTAGACTCGTACCTCAAGAATTCCACAATAACTTCAGTGTCTTTAGATTATATACTACTTTCTAGTGATTAATTTTGGTTTTAGTTGCAGAATTCACTAGTACACTATATATGACTTTTATGGTACTGTACTACCATAAAAGTCGTTAGACTAAAGGTAGATTAACTTTCTGTCTTAAATATTCTCATGTGGTTTTAACTAAAGGTTCTCTCTCTTCTTTTTTTCTTTTTTTTTTTCTTCTTGTTCATATTTATTCATGTTTTATAGATGTTGTGATCTCAACTGTGGCTAGATGCACATATAAATATTTCCAATATCTCCCAAATCACACCTTTTTTTAGGAAGCACGTCTTCTAGTTGGGGTTTGAGCACAAGGTAGACTAACTAAGCCAGCATGACTTTGTTTCCTGTCAACTGCTCTGAGCTCTGTATCATGCCATATATCATGGTAATCATGGTAGGAAGAATATTCTAGCAAGGATGACAAGTTAATTTCTGTGAGAATGAAGATCCTTTTTTTGTCATGGTTTTTAGGGAAGAAAAAATTCCTCTGGACTTGAAGCCTAAAATTTTTATGGGACTTTCAGCTACTCCACTGCTGCAAAGAGAATTTGAGGAATAGTGTATGAAATGGTTAAATAATTCAGTAATAACCACCAAGTGGAAGTGGTAGAGAGCTGCGTTAAATAAATAACATCAGTTGAGGAGAACTGTAAGATGATTTTAACAAAGAATTTGCAAATGGAGTATCTTGCTATGTGCTCAAAATTGTGCTTTTAGGATAAAGACAGTTAACTGCCATCTTCAGCCTTTGTACTTCTAAATACCACAAATTTTCTATTTGTCTTTTCTTCCAAATCATTATAATCTAATACAACTGTAATTAATGGGATCATGTCCAAATTGTTATTGAACTAAAAGTTATGTAAAAAATACTCAACTTTAAACCTACATCTCACATTGTAATAAACTTAGGCAATTTTATATTTTCCACAGTAGGTGGAAAGTTTCTTTAGTCTTCATGTGACTTGGAAATTGATTTGGGACATACAGTCTTCATCTCTAATTTTTTTTATCTTGATTTCTGGATTTGTTAAGAACAAGAGGAAAGGTTATAGCATAGGAAATTCTGTTGAATTTCCAAAATAAGGTTCAACAGAGACAACTGACTGTGCCTACACAACTTGCTCTTCTAATGGGGGAACTCTTCTCCATAACATGGGAAGAAACTGGAATTAATATGCCTTTATGAATTTGTGGGAGACACACAGTTTAGCTTCTAGTGGAGGGAAGATGTATTATATTATAGGGAATTATATTTCTTTTTGCTGTGATAGGAGTGGAATAAGTTAAAATTTGAATTCAAATTCTGGAGACAATTGGATTGTTTTCATTTATTTGTTCCTTAGCAGAGAGGAAAATATTCTGATAAAGTGCATTTATACAAAATACTATTCTTGCATTATGTAAATGCTTTCAGCCATTGTCAGCAAAACTATTTTGCACTAGAAAAAACTGCCATCTCAGACAGTGCATTCTTGTGTGTCTGAATATTGCCATTTGAAGGACTTTTCCCATCACAAGGGAAATAATTGATGGTTTTAGAGGATGATTCTTTAACCAACCACCCATGTGGTTACATTTTCCGTTTACCAATGTTTCTAGGAAAAAATTCTATTCTGTTTTTCTTTTCTAAACCCTATTGTAAAATAGAATAACAAATCTGTTGATGAGTGAAGCAGTTTAGCAGTTTGGGTGAGCATTTGACTATTACAGTACTTTAGAATAAGTTAAATAGGGCATCAAGATAAATGCTCTGAGAATTTTCATAGGCAGCATTAAAGTGAATACAAATTAATTTGTTGTGATAAAACACAATTTTAAACTGCCACTGTTCTGTGGAAGAAATATATTATCTTGTGGGTTGCCATTTCACATACATTTATGAGTCAAAAACCTATAAAAACACAGATAATATTACATTATGATATCATAGAATCATAGCAAATGATAAATGCACTTAATAAGATATACTTCATATTAAGTGGCAATTTCAAAGTACTTGCATGAAAGGTGCTGCACAATTAAAAATATTCAGACACAATTTGTTATGCACAGTACACAGGGTAATAAAATTAATGGATGCACTTCAGATAATGATCTGTTTCCTCTGGGTGTTGTATATTTATTCACTGATTATATCAGAAGCTTTTAGAATATGAAACATGAAAAGATTATGTACCATTATTCCTAGAATAATATTGTTTTACTGGAGAATGGGTTTTATATTGTTTCTTTACCTGCTTGTCAACTTTTGGTATGTGCTGCTGCCATGAGTGAAGCAGAGTAAGGGGATTGATATTAGTGTAATAAATGAAAGCTAGTGGTTGCTAAAGTTGCTAAAGATAATGAAGAAGTCAGTACTAATCACGAAAGTAAGTTTCAAATTCTTGATTTTCACCACTTTAATGAGCAAATAAAAACATTAAAATTTTGCCCTTATTCCGTCAAATACTCTAATAGTTATTAATCTGTCATTTTCAATGAGATGAAGGGCCAGCTTTCTTCAAAATAAAACAATTTTTTGACAAATTTGCCCAATTTTTTTAAAGTGCAAGTAATGTCCATTTTCTTGCATCCCTCTGGAAATGACATACCAACATCTAATACACAACTTCGAGTTAACTGAGAAGACTGTGAATTAAGAAAGTTTTTGAAAATGCATCCTATAGAGATTTTCACATAGGTCTTTCTTTCAGTAGGATATTGTGTTGCCTGAGCTGTACCTCTGCAATCTTTTACCAAACATGACTCTGTACACTCCAATCTTGTACTGTCCACTTCAGTTAAATGAAGTGAAAAAGCTTTTCTTTGTTTATCTGTGCACTTGTAGAATCACATTTAGGCTCGAAGTTTAGATAATAAAGAAATTAATTAAAGAAATTTGAACAATGTCAGGTGTTTTCACGTATTTAAATGTTATCTTAAGAGGGACATATGAGTGAAAAGAAGAAGAGAGGATCTGATGAATCTAGATTTTCATCTGAAATACAGTCCTCTGAATCCTTGAATAAAATATTACAGTGAAAACTGTTATTGTGCAAGGATAATCCATGATTGTGCTTCCCCTGGTAATCATAATCTTGCCTAAGGGTACTTTGGAGACTGTGGTAGCAGAAAAGAGAGGAAAGGAGGAATAAATAAAAATGATCTTTTTATATCTACTCTGCCAGACTCATAGACAGTGTCTTCCAGGTTCAGAGAACACAGTGGCAAAGATATCTGCTGTCTGTTATGAGTATACAGCATCTTTATATCCAAAGTCACAACAGGACAGAAGCAATTCTTGAAATATAGCATAGTTAAAGGGTCTTCTTCTATATATGTGCTTGTTCTTGCTGTTGGTAAAATTCGATATCTATGTGCCCGGTCATCTTGGCTGTTAATCAGTCATGCTATGCCATTCAGGTTTGTGCTGCCACTTCACGTATTACTATATGTTTATTAGAAATTTACAATTTTAAGAAAATTTAGTTATGCATACCACATCTCCAGATGCAAACATATGCACACAAAAGACTAGTTAACTTTTGGATTTTAAGATATGTCAAAATACTGTTTACCTCTTTATGTCTTAAAATTCACTTTATTCTCTTGCTCAGCCTCTAAACTATGCTATCCAGTTCCCAGAGTATATTGTATATGTATAGCTGCTCCAACCACCATAGTTGCCGTTATCTCCCAGTAGTACTGAGCTTCCTATCTTTCTACATTTTTGCTTGTTCTTTTTGAAATCATGTACAATTTGTTTGGCTAGGGTAACATCCTAGAAGCAGCACGTCCAGGGAACTGCTATCAAGTACTGCACAGTCTGTTTCCAAGTGGGGTGTTTCCAAGCAACTCTGAATGGAATAGCCCTGACCTGAATCCAGAATTGGATTTGCCAGAGAACTATGGTGCTCCACGACAGACGTGATCCTAGATTATCATTGCATGGGTTACTATATAGCATGCATTATAGTAATTCCTTAGAAAATTGTATTATTTCCCATATTTTTATATTATTTATATTTTTATTTAAGGCATTTAGCTGTAATTAGGACTCCACTTCCTATGTCATACCTTCAAAAATATCACATGAACTATTTACTATTTTTTAACTGTGATAAAGTAATTTTCTTGTAAATTGGGAATATAGGTTCCAAATAAGATAAACCATATTGACAGCATATCAGATATCATAGAACTATAACACTGAAGGCTTTTGTCTCATTTACTATTAAACTTGGGTTTAAGAAATAGAAAAGCACCCTAAATTTCATTGTTTTGATAAAAACAGAGCTTATGTTTTACAAGTGAACTAGTGTTTACAAGTGATGATGTTATTAAAAAAGTGTTTTAATGAAGTGTTTTAAAGCATATAGCACTACCCAGTGGATTGAGAATTTTATTAATTTTGAAATCAGTATCAGTCCTATTGCTATGTGTATCATTACATGTCATGCCAATAAAAAAGATTAGAGATTGCATTTAAACTTCCTCTGAAAAATAAGTGAGATGCTTAAGTTAATATTTTGAACTCAAACTGAGTTCAATTTTTGGAATAATTATAAATTATGTTATTTCAAGATCCCTTCACTTATCTTAGATATGTATTGCCTTACTTTCTTCACAAATTAAATAGAGCTCTCTTACCTTTAAATATTTCTAAATAATTGCCTTGTCTGTAATAACTAATCAGTTTTCTTTATGAACTTTGTGAACTTTGATTTAAGCATGATTATTGAACAATAGACAGAAATAGGCAAACTATACCAGAGAAAAATCAGACCCTGTCTGAAAATAATCTTACAGAAGTGTCACCTATGCTTTCTCAGCTCTCAGTCTTTGCTTAATGTCTACTGATGGTCACTGTTGGACAGATGGGACTGGCCTAGATGGAGGTTTTATCTGATCATATGTTTATTCCTCAGTGCTTATGGTATTCCTAATGCAAAACTTAAGGGTTAGATTATCGGGAACATCAAAATAACTGTGGAATATAGTTTATTTAAATTGGTCTTTTTATGAAAAAAAAGAAAAAAAACAACAACAAAACAGTCTTGTACATTAAAATCTAATTACAGTACAGACAATTTTTTCAAAATTCAGCTGTCAGGCATTTTCTTATTTCTTACAGTTTTAATTAGCTTTATGTATTGTATCTCTACTTTCTGCTTTATTCCTATTCTTGTACTTTAATGCACTTTATAATTCATTCCCATAGCAACAAAAGTACCCTGGCAGCAACTTAAAATATTTTTAAATGCTTTCTCCACTAATGTGTAACATCTGTACGTTCAGGACTGTTATTTGATGATAAATTATTAACTGGATTTATGAGCTTTCAAATACAGAAATTGAATTGTTATTTTACTTTTTTTTTCTTTGTGACTTATTTATCTTTAAGTGTTGAACTTCTTCTCTTGTTTTCTTTGTAGAGGGTCTGAGTGCTGACAACATTAGACAAGCCTCAGAACAGCTGAAGAGCCGCTGGATTGAGTTCTGTCAGTTGCTGAGTGAAAGACTGGCATGGCTGGAGTACCAAAATAACATCATTGACTTCTACTCCCAGCTGCAGCAACTGGAGCAGACAGCAATTACTGCAGAGAACTGGCTGAAAGCACAACCCGCACCAGCAGCAGATCCTGCTACAGTAAAAACTCAGTTGGGAAAATGCAAGGTTAGAGAATCTTCTCCAAGTTTTTTTATTACATTGTACTTCATAGGTGTTCCAACAGTGGGCCAGATACCTTCACTATTTCAATATACAAGTGGAAAATGGACTCCTTATCTCTTCTAGGTAATTATTGAAAATATTTATTCAAGGAAAGGGAAGAGTGGTAAAGAAATAAAGAGGCAAACTTTAGTGGAAACTAACATTTAAAACTGGTATTTAAAACTCTGCCCCAAATATTTAGTCATTACTATACTTAGATACCTAAAGCTAAGGAACTTTGCCCGTAAACTCTTTTTCCTTTTTTTTTTCCCCTGAAAGAGTCTGTGTCTTTGGTTCTTTATTAAGAAACTGTTGTTCATCACCTCTGTCGTAAGGATCTGGGTCAGAAAATTGTCTTCATGATGAAGTTCAAAATACTCCCATTGCAGAGTGCTTTACTTGTTATATACCCTGCCTTTTGATGCAGGTTGGATTGTGTAGTGAAATGGAGGACTGTTCTTCTGTCATCACATGACAAAATTACAACAGTTGCACAAAAATGGTCACACCAATTCACTTATTATTGTCCCTAGATGTTTTCACCTGTGTGCTGCACCATCATAGAAATTTGCTTCTCTCTCTTACTGTGGACAACTCTGTGCATGGAGATTACTTACAAGCTAATATCGTTTGACAGGAATCTATTGAGATGTTGTAACAAATTATAAATTACATTACATACTTGGAGAAGTTTGACTTTATGAAATCTCTGGCACCAGAAGCTGTCAAACTGAAATCAGTATTTGAAACAAAATTTAGATCTATGCTATTAGATTCCAGGCATTTCCAAGCTGGCATCTTGCTCACATGGGTTCTCTGTTTTCTTGCAGAAAGCTTCTCTTACAGTAGCTCTACTATGAACTGTATGTTTGGCTTACTTTCTTCATTTCTTTTTACTTAGTAGTTGCAACTGTCACAGTGTGGTCACGGTGTGTACAAGGTCTCTTGAAGGTATAATAGCACAACCTCAACTTGTAATGTGTTACTGAGGGGCTGCTGGAAATCACTGTGCATCTTCACCTCTCCTTTTCTACTTCATGCTATTTAGCCTGTATATAGCCTAACAGACATGAGTCCAGGACTATGAGACATGGGGAGTTTTTGTCTTCCCAGCTCCATGAGAAAAGGTTGCTCCTTGGGCATGGAATTTTAATATCCAGTCTATCTAATTGTCTTTGAGCATTACACTACTAACTGATCTCATGTTAAAGTGACTTTAAACAATGGTAAGAGCATCATATTGGGAGCAGAGGTATTGATTTGTGAGAAATAATTAAAAATGTTGAGTTTGTTCTTATTGTAACTGATGGAGTTGGAAGCAGAACAGTTGTGTAACTTGCAAACAGTGGTGATTTCATGGTACTAGTGATTTCATTTGTTGGACAGATTTATCTTGATGATTTTTGTTCATATATGCAGGATGAAATCATCCGAATGTCAACCCTTCAGCCTCAAATTGAACGGCTAAAGGCTCAAAGTCACGCACTCAAAGAAAAAGAACAAGGGCCAGTGTTTCTGGATGCTGACCTTGCTGCTTTTACCAGCCATTACAAACAAATACTTGCTGACATGCAGGCCAGAGAAAAGCAGCTACAGACCAGTAAGTGTTCATGTCAACAAGTCTGTTTGCCTGACTAGCATATGAAATATAGGCGTTTATGTTTTGCTGTCCTACTTTTGTTTTTACTTTTGTTACATTAAACCAGTATTACAGTTTAGGTGGTATTGTTTGCAATCTAGTCTTTCAGAAGTTATCATTAATAGGAAAACAAGGAAGGTACACTATTCAGAAACAAAGGTTACACTCAGTGTATTTCTACACTTGGGTCTCTTCTTGTTAGCATGTTTATGGACAGATTCAGTGATCTTTTTTGGCAACATAAAACTGCCTTAGTTTAGTCAGGCTATAAGACAAGGCTCTGTCAGTACGGGAAAGAAAGTGTTTAATTGCAGGAATAAGTCTGCTCTAGATTTTCATAGAATAGAAATTTAACTCCATAAAGCTCATCAAAGACAGTAGCTACTTTAGGGTATCTAGTTTTTCATTATCTGGTGAACTGTTTGTTTTTTGCAATATAGAATATATGGCTGCTAGTTGTGACAATTATTTACAATATTTGTAGTAAAATGCATTTTTAAAAAGGGGGGAAATGCTATACCAAAATCGAAAGTTGACTTTATTCCTTATTCAAAATACATAGCTTATCAGTGACTGTGGTACACTTTCTGTATTTGATTATGAATTTAAAAATAAAATATCGAATAAAAATATAAATTCAATTTTTCTCAACAGCAAGGAGATTATTTGCCCCTTAAACCAATGATATCTGTAAATGACTGTACTGTTTTGAAATTAGACATAGTGCTAGCTCCTTCTAGTGGATCTTTATAGTATTTATTCTGAGTTATTTCAGGGAGTTTTGATATTATTCTATTTCTAAAGATGTGGTTTTTTTTTCAATAACACTGCATTATTGTGCTGCTCTGGTTATTTCACACATGCACACACATACTGAAGAAATAAAATGCAAGTGTGCCATAGCATGTGATGAAACAATGAGCCATAGAAATTTAGTATCATGAAGTGTAAAGTTTATTCATGACTCTAAAGTCAGGCCATACAATGGATAAGACTTTAGAACTTTGAATCCCACACTGGTTTATATGCTGAAATCAGTTACCATTCTGCCAAAAAGATATGGTAAGTGCTAGTTTCTTTATGTTTTCTTCTATATCCAGTTTTGTGTAATTGCTAGTTTTGCCTCATCTAATTTTACTATAATGAAACCTTGTGAACTAACCAGTTGCTTAGCCTTGTAAGGTGACTAGTGTTCAGTGCCTGATCTGTAATGCCACTAAGCAGAGGCTTTGATAAAGTTCTACCCAGCTATATGTAAGTTCATTCCCACTGCCATGCTGCAGGATGCTCTTCCAGTGCCCTGGCCAGCCACAGGAGCAGCTGTCCTGAGGTGCCAGCAGTGAAAGGACTGGGAAGAGTCTCCTAAACTGGTGGAGAACAGAAGTCCCTGAATCAATATTTTATGGTCTGTTGTTATTTTATGTGACTGCTCTGCATTATGGGTGCTTCATCTCAAATTGTTCAACTGTCAAGACAAGAGTGTTTTATCCTATACAGTATATACTTGTAGTGATATTTTAGGTGAGATTATTATGCCAATCATATTTTATCTTCAGAAATTTTATACACAGTTTTATCCGAAGTGCTAACTTCCTTTCATAGCTCTCCTGTAGTGATCATGCTTAGCATACTACATTAGGTCTAATCCTGTTTCAGGAAAGTCTTATGAATCAAAAACTGTGGAAACAACCCTCCAAAGTTCTTTCTTCAATGACTATTTTTCTTCTGTTGAACAGATGGAGAAAGGGCCATATACTATGTCTTTATTTTAATCCTAGTTTAATAGAAAGTGTTGAAATTTTGCTAGAGTATTTTAGATATTTATGTCTTTTATTTTCATAAATTATTTTCAATTACTTGTTTTTTATAGATTTAAGAATTTATTTAAAACTGAAGTTCTGCAGATCAGTGGTAGTTTTTACTCCTTTTTTCTACCCTGTACATATAATCTACAGGTGCTGGGAAGATATTTTTGATTCATCGTTGAGGGTTTTTTTGTGTTAAAAGGATTTTTGAGACACTATTAGGGGTTTGGGTTTTTTTGTGGTTTGGTTTGGTTTGGTTTGGTTTTTTTTCTAATGTTCCATTACTCCATTATCTTTTCTGATAGATAAGGGTATTTAGCTATTCTGCTCTGTTTTCCAAGGAATTTTTTTCGCAAAAAAACAGAAGAGAGGTTTCTCTAGTTCTAGAAGATTGTGTGTCTTAAATATTTTTTGCTTTGGTGGGTTTTTCGAGGGTGGTGGTGGTTTTATTTTGGGTTCTTTAGGTTCAAGAGTGCTTAGTAGTTTTTCTACACAGTAGATTTCTTTATAGAATATTATTAAAGATTAAATCAGATTAGTCAAGTGTTTTTCCATTATTTGATTAGCATTTCCAGTTACAAAACCTAATGAAAAGACAATTCTAAAACTTATTTGGTTGGTTTTTTTCACTATTTTGCAATGTTGTTTGTGAAAGAAATACAGCTTCCTAAAATATGAGGAAACATAACCTCATTTTTTCTTACTTTATAGAATGTCTATATATCCATAGGTAATAGATCATTTTGAAGACGATATATCCATCATTCCAGCTCTCCCTCCTTCCCAAACATATTTAGAGTTATTTCTAGGATACCAGTATGTAGAAAAAATAGAGGTCAGACAGTGCTTCAAACTATTCAGTAATGTACACAAGGGAGTGAAACGGACAATTATGGCAATAATTTGAATATGAATAATTAGTTTTATAATTAGTTTTACAGTTGCCCTGGTTAAGAATGAGGAGTTGAACTTTATATTTACTTGTCTTGAAATAAACTGCTGCCGTGTCAGAGAAATTCCCAGGAAGCAGCTGGATCAGCCTCCCTTTCCCTCTCAGCCAGGGCCAGGGCCAGGAGAGTACTCGCTGGCTCTGACTACTTCCCAGGTGGCAGCTGATTCATTCCAGCACTCATCTCATGCTGTGACTGGACAGACTCCGTAAAGGTGCTTTCATGGTTCAGTTTTGCTGCAGTAAACTCTTACCCAGCTGTGGTCTTCAGTGAGAGGCACTCTGGTACGTGTTCTGAATTTGAGAAGACTGTTCTTCAGAGGAAGTTTGGGGAGTGTCATTAGATTTTTAGAAAGTAATGTTAAAAAAAACCACAAAAAAAACTTTTGTGGCAGGTGAAATTAAGAATATCAAGATGGAGATGGCAAAGGTAAAGTCATATTTATTTCAGTTTTTCTGTGCGTCATAAATTCATGCACTGTGCTTTCCTTTCAAATTCTTATTCTAACTTTGTAGGATCAGTAATTCCCAAAGGTGAAGTCATTGTCGTTGTTGTTATTCTTATTGTTGATGATGAATCATTCATCTGCATTTAAATGTTATTTCTCCTATGTATTTCAAGAAGGACAACAGGAAAGTTTTGCCTTCTACATCATGTCAATATTCTTTAGACTTTTTACTTACCCATCCCATGGTTACAGTTATTTCATATGTACTCCACTTTTCTCCCTAATCCACATGTACAGTGTCTTAAAGGGGGATGCATTATATAGAACTCATGCAACTCAGTGTTGGCATAAATCTGTAAGACAACAAACCTTAGTAACCATAACAATATGATGACAATTTTGAGTTTTAGTCTGTCATTTGCCTGCTCTTGCTTATACTTTGAACTGCTAACTTATTTTCATACTCTAAGTATCTTAGAGACGGGTTATAAGTGACAGTGAGATTGTTATGATATTTATAATAATCTTTCACCAATCATTGCATACTTGAGGAAGAAAAATTTTAAGCAAGTGTCATGTGAATTTAAAAACTGTAAATTATCCTTAAGAGCTAAAATATGATTTAGTAGCAATAATATTCATTGCTGTTTGGTTTTGAGGGGTAAAGTTTGCTTAATTGTCTTTGAATGTGCCTTTTGAATGTGAGAAAATCAGCATGGTTTAAACAGTGCAGCTACTACTAAGATTTTTATGGGAAATATGTGCAATTCGATCTAGTTCATTTGTTTCAGGAAGTAAGTCTTTAATGAAATGATCCCATAGATTATATTTATTGCTTTTTTTCTTCTTTCACAGTGATGTGATAAACAATGGGATTTGTCCTGACTGTAGGAGATACACAGTGTAGCGTATCCAGTGTGATTTGATAGTTGTTGAGATAATTGTATTCTCATTTCATTTCTGATTTGGGCAAAGATTTTTGACTGGAAAATCCAGTCACCAAAACGGAAACTGGGAGGAAATATATAATTAAAAAAAAGTATTTTACTTCTTTGGAAAGCTTTTACATGTTTAACTATTTCTATCTGCACATTGTATTTCCAAATATAAGAACTTTCTCTAAAATAAATAGGCAAGTGTAAATGTATTTACCTGTCAGTTCTCAAGGGTTACAATGTTAGTCACATCAAAATGCATTCCTTACAAGTGGAATAGATTATGCAACACCGTTTTCCTGTTTTGGGACGGGAAATGTATTCTGATATTTCACAGTAAATTATTTGTATTTTCCCTCTGTTGTTTTTTGTTTCAGTTCTGTTATGGACCTAGCTTGGGTTGTGGACATGCTATATCTTTCTGACTACCAATTTTTCATATAATATAGCAGTCCATATTAATGCACTGTGTTTATCATGTGGCCTTTAATCCACAAACATTCATATCTCAAGGCAAATTTTAGTATAAAAATAAACAGGTCTGGATATCTGTTTATGTTATGAGCATGGGGAATTTAGAGATTCGTACTGCCTGCAGAGAGATTGTAAATTGTTAGATTATTTAGACAGCTAAAATTAGGTAACGTGAATCCCAGTGTAGGAGTTCAACTGAATTCTCTCCGTTGGCATAGTGAGTTGCAAAAGCAACAGAGCCTTCTGAAGTGTCATCCAAAATATGTTAATTTGCTTCCCTGTGGATGAAAATGCTGACACATTTTGTATCTTAAAAAAAAATAAACAACCAACCCCTCCCCTCAAAAAATACCCAAACAAATCCAACAAGACCCAAAAACTCTAGCTAGGCAAAAGGCATTGAATAGTAGTATTTCACTACTAGTAATATGGAAAAGTGAAATAGGAAAACTATTATTTCACTGAACTTAAAAGTGCTTTTTAAATGGAATATTTAATAACAACATTGGAAAGCCACTAGCTTGATTAAATCATAGTCTCATAGAATCATAGAATGGTTTAGGTTGGAGAGGACTTTAAAGATCATCCAGTCCAACCCCCCTGCCATGGGTAGGGACACCTCCCATTAGATCAGGTTGCCCAAAGCCCTGTCCAGCCTGGCCTTGAACACTTCCACAACTTCTCTGGGCAACTTGTGCCAGTGTCTCACTGCTCTCACAGTAAAGAATTTCTTCCTAATATACAGTCTAAATCTACCCTCTTCCAGTTTAAAGCCATTCCCTCTTGTTCTGTCACTACCTGCCCTTGTAAAAAGTCCCTCCTCAGCTTTCCTGTAGGACCCCTTCAGGAACTGGAAGGCTGCAATAAGGTCTCCCTGGAGCATTCTCTTCTCCAGGCTGAACAACCCAAACTCTCTCAGCCGGTCCTCATAGTGGAGGTGCTCCAGTCCTCTGATCAGCTTCGGGGCCCTCCTCTGGACCCACTGTAACAGCTCGATGTCCTTCTTATACTTAGGGTCCCAGAACTGGATGCAGTACTCCAGGTGAGGTCTCACAGGAGAACAGTATAGGGGTAGAATCACCTTCCTCAACCTGCTGGCCACACAGCGGTTGACCTTCTGGGCTGCAACCGCACACTGCTGACTCATGTTGAGTTTTTCATCGACCAACACCTCCAGGTCCTTCTCCTCAAGACTGCTCTCAAGCCATTCTCCACCCAGCCTGTATTTGTGCTTGGGATTGCCCCTACCCAGGGGCAGGACCTTGCACTTGGCCATGTTGAACTTCATGAGGTTGGCATGGGCCCACCTTTCCAGCCTGTCCAGGTCCATCTGGATGGCATCCCTTCCTTTCAGCATGTCAACTGCACCACCCAGCTTGGTGTCATCTGCAAACTTCCTGAGGGTGCACTCGGTTCTGCTGTCTGCGTCGCTGACAAAGATATTAAACAGTACCAGTCCCAGTACCGATCCCTGGGGAACACCACTCGTCACTGGTCTCCATTTGGACATTGAGTTATTGACCACAACTCTGTAAATGTGACCAACCAGCCAATTCCCTATCCAGTGAGTGGTCCATCCATCAAATCCACATTTCTCCAGTTTCATGACCAGTATGTCATGTGGGACAGTATCAAACACTTTGCGTAAGTCCAGATAGATGATGTTAGTTGCTCTTCCCTTATCTACCAAAGCTATAACTCCATCATAAAAGGTCACCAAATTGGTGAGGCATGATTTGTCCTTGGTGAAGCCATGTTGGTTACCACCAATCACTGCATCCTCATTCTCCCTGTGCCTTAGGAGAGCCTTCAGGAGGATCTGCTCCATGGTCTTTCAGGCACAGAAGTGAGACTGACTGGTCAATGGTTTCCTGGATCTTCCTATTCCCCTTTTTGAAAATGGGGGTTATGTTTCCCCTTTTCAAGTCATCAGGAACTTCACCAGACTGCCACGACCTTTCAAATATGATGGATAACAGTTTGGCAACTTCATCCTCCAGTTCTCTCAGGACCTGCAGATGGATGTCATCAGGTCCCATGCACTTGTGCACCTTCAGGTTCTTTATGTGGTCTTGAACCTGGTCTTCACTTACAGTGGGTGGATCTTCCTTCTCCCAGTCCCTACCTTTGCCTTCTGTGACTTGGGCAGCACGGCGTCATTCAGCACCTCAGCCTTCTCTATGTCCCCTGTGACCAGTTCTCCATCTTCCTTCTGTAGAGGGCTCACTTCTTCCCTAGCCTTCCTTTTATCACTGGTGTACCTATAGAAATTCTTCTTGTTCCCCTTTATTTCTCTGGCTAGATTTAATTCCATCTGTGCCTTAGCTTTCCTAACCTGATCCCTGGTTGTTTGGGCAACTTCTTTATAATCCTCCCAGCTAACCTGTCCTCGCTTCCATTCCCTTCTGCATCCAAGTAAGTCCAGGAGCTCCTTGTTCATCCACACAGGCCTTCTGGCATTCTTGCCTGCCTTCCTCCTTCTTGGGATTCACTGTTCCTGGACTTGAAGGAGATGGTCCTTGAATATCAATCAGCAATCTTGGACCCCTCTTCCCTCCAGGTCTATATCCCACAACACCTTGCTTAGCATTTCCCTGAAGAGACTAAAGTTTGCTCTCCTGAAGTCCAGAGTGATGAGCTTGCTCCATGTCCTTTTCGATGACCTAAGGATCTTGAATTCCACCATTTTGTGGTTACTGCAGCCAAGGCTGCCCTCAAGCTTCATGTTGCTCACCAGCCCCTCTTTGTTGGTGAGGACAAGGTCCAGCATGGCACCCCGTCTCGTGGGCTCCTCTACAGCTTGAAGGAGGAAGTTGTCATCTATGCATTCGAGGAACCTCTTTGATTGCTGGTGCCCTGCTGTGTTGTCCTTCCAGCAGATGTCAGGGTGACTGAAATCCCCCATGAGAACCAGGGCTTGTGAATGTGAAGCTGCTGTAATCTGTTTATAGAGGGCCTCATCCACTCGGTCTTCCTGATCAGGTGGCCTGTAGCACACCCCCACTATGATGTCTCCTTCACCTGCCTTCCCACTAACCCTGACCCATAAGCTGTCAGCTCCTCACCCTGCCCCAGATCGAGCTCCGTGGACTCCAGCTGGTCCTTAATGTAGAGAGCAACACCCTCTCCCCTTCTCCCCTGTCTGTCTTTCCTAAAGAGATTATAACCCTCTGTTCCTAATGTCCAGTCATAAGAGCCATCCCACCAACTCTCAGTGATGCCAATGACATCATAGCCCTGTAGGCATGTGTACATCTATAACTCTTCCTGCTTATTTCCCATGCTCCATGCATAAGTGAACAGGTATTTAAGTTGCTCCCCCATTGAAGCCAACTTACTGGCTGGGGGTCCCTTGTTCTGCACTTCAGGTACTTTCGTCCATGGCCTGGAGCATCTCTCCCTTACATTGTCATCGAAGTGGGATGGACTGTGGATCCCCTCTCCCTGCAACTCTAGTTGAAAGCAATATTTAAACAATGTTTAAATCAATATCTGTGATTCCACTTGAAGTCTTATTTAATCTTGCAAATAGAGAACATAATTAATCAAAATTGGACAAAACCTTTGCAGTGTTTGGATGGTTTTAAAATTATTATTATTGACACACTTTCAGGATAAGAGTTTCATGCAGTTTGGTGGAGTTTGCTGTAACATCGTATCTTGTGTTTTAACCTGTTCTGAGGTACTCTCCACTGCTACAGAAAATAGCTATTATTTGATATAGCTACTTGAAGTCACACATTAGTTCTAAGATTTGTTTATAATTTAAAAGAGAAAATTAGTTATAGAAGTCAAACATTACATCACAATACTGAACTCCATTTCATATTTCTAAATATAACTGTAGATTAAGAGTTGTATAAACCTTTGACATATATGAGCTGTTAAAATTACATCTCCATTTGTTTGGAGTGATGTGTTTAAAAGCATGTTCTGTTCTAACATAGGCATTGTTTGTATTAAATGAGTCAAATCTCTCTAAGGAAATAAAATTGCTTAAAATGCTATTTGATGAGATGGAAAATGTTTGTTCTGTGTTTCCAAGAATGTACTGCTATTGCTTTCAGTGTAAAGAAAATACATTACAAGCACAGAAATTCTTGTCTTTCCTGATATTAGGTCCTATCTTTTGTAAATATCCAGATGTGTGTGATAAATCTGGTCAGCCAAGATTTGTATGAGGAAAATATGCCATACAATGTGTATACTCCATGAAAGAGCTTAAATTGCCCTGATTTTAGTATGTTGTTATGATGCCTAACTGAAAAATATAACATTTTTTCAAGTAGCATTCTGTTGATCAACTGAAAAGATAGATTAAAGTCAGAAGTACATTCTGCCAAGATACTTGCAGTGCAACTTGCACTTAAAAGTTTTAACTGTGTTGTTTATTAAAATTTCTTTTTTGAACAGCTATGTTGTCTCTCAGTACAGTTGCTTCTGAAACACTAGACATATACAGGAGGTACAAATAAGTGTAACATTTTTTTAAGCTTTTATATACTACATTGTTATAGGTACAGATTGGAAATGAAACATTTCCATGCTACTTGTCTGTATTTTTCTCAATGAGTATAGAAGCAACTGCTGTTGAGGGCAGAGAGAGTATCTCTGCTAATGAATTGCTCATGTGTGTGCCAGATGTTGTCTATTTACAGCAGCTGTAATGTTGGCACAATAAGCACAATCCAATAAAATCATCTTTAATGCAGAAGAAAGATTAATTTTATATGCTTTTAACAGATGTCTTCAATGGAACATTTTACTTGAACAGAAACATTAAACACATAAGCATAGGCCATAAAAGGGAATGTTATTTCTAACTGCATTTCTGAAATTAGATTTTGGGTTAAGTACAATGGTTTATCTATTGATCTCTATGCACACATATTTAAACTAGTAGTCTTGGTCATGTCATAGGTCACATGACAACTTAGAGACAAATGACACACAATTCATAAAATGACAGAGATATCATAAACATTAGAATTTGCGTATTAATTCTTCAAAAGTTTTCTGCTTTCACAACCCTTGGAAAAATCTGATGCTGGGCCTGTCGCAATCTGTTTCAAGTAGTCACTAACTTCAATAAGGCTTGGTCTTACATCAAACATCTGTCAGCAAACACATGATGAAGCCCAAAATTTTTTCTTTCCTTTTTCTCCCCTGTTGAATGTAGTTTTTGACAGTTTGCCTCCTGCACACTACAAAGAGACAATGAACACTATACTTGTGTGGATCCAGCAGTCAGAAACGAAACTCTCCATGCCTCAGGTAGCAGTTGCTGAGTATGAAATCATGGAGCAGAGACTCAGGGAGCTCAAGGTGAGTGGTCAGGCAGTGGGAACAAATGTCTCAAATGAATTTTTTAGATGAACAGAATGGAAAGTTTTACTAAGTTTGCTGAAACCTACACTACAGATCTTGGGTGAATTATACCAATTTGGGTTATAGCCTAGGGCTTCAGGAGACAAGGGATACTTATATCAGTTCCTAAAGTTAAAGGATTGGAAGTGCTCTTCACCATTGAAACCAATTTTATAAGATATTGGACATGTTAAGGAAAAGCCTTTGTTTGTCCCCATGATATATAAAATATTTGTTTGATGATAGCTCTGGTAGTTAAGTATAGATGTAGCTCATTTCATTTTCCAGTGCTGACGTGGAAACAACTATGATTTGCAAAAGGCAGCACAAGCTTTGTCAGATTTCCTGTCGAATTTACAAGCAGATGCAAATGTGGAACAAGTTTTGCCAGTGGGTAGAAACTTTCTCCGCATTTCAATATTTGATATTGTTCTCCTGTTGAATGACTAATGAACATGTTGTTTGATGCAACTAATACTGCAAATGCAGAAATAAAAATTCAAATATAGACAAAAAAGTTATGTGCAGCAAATTTGGGCTAAGAATGGCAAAAGTTTTGAGAAGTTATCAAAAACTTTAAATCATAGAAGCAGTTCTGAGCTTATTCTTTTCTTCCATGTATAGTCTGATTCGTTTGAAGTTGTAATCATTAGGTTGTATATGGATCACCTCCATTAACAAGTATAAACACCTCTGGTTATATTCTCAGTTCAACAAAAAAAATACGTATTTTCTAGTTTGTGTGAGGAAAAAGCAATTCCAAATATCTCAGCAGAATACATCACTAGATATTTTAACAAATGTGACCTACATTTTTAGTTTTCGGTCCTTTCTTCAGCAGTCTTACTGTGAAGTTGCACTCACTCACTCATTCTATGTTTGTGAAACAAAGAAAATTGCCTGACACATGAATCAGGATACTATTTGCTTCTTATTCATAGGCTCTACAAAGTTCTCTGCAAGAGCAGCAAAAAGGCCTGAATTATCTCAGCACAACTGTGGAAGACATGTCCAGAAAAGCCCCTGCAGAAGTCAGCCAAAGATATAGATCAGAGATTGATGTGATCCTTGGCCGCTGGAAGAAATTGTCAGCACAGCTGGTGGAACATTGCCAGAAACTTGAGGAGCTTATGACCAAACTCCAGCGATTCCAGGTTAACCAATTTTTTTCAGCCTCAACGATTATGTAGTGGGTTGTGGCTGTAAGACTAGCACAGAACACATTTATACACCTCAAGAAAGTAACACCAAAGTGAAATATCAAAACAGCACAATAAATTATTTAAATGTTTGCTTTATTTTTGTAAGTCCAAGATTTCACTTTGAACTCTGATTTTGTGGCTGTTTCTGCCTATGTTGTTTCAGCAGCAAAACTTGACTTCAATTTCAGTGAAATTGCTACTAATATTCCACTGCTTACTTTTTCAATGTAGCTGAAGTACTTTTTCATGCAGAAGAAGTAGCTGTAACCATATTGACTTTAATGAAGTCACTTACATAATTAGTCATTTGTAATATGGTCACATCTTGACAGCAGTTGCCAGAAAGCAGAATTGTATATGAATTACACAATTGTGTGAATTTCAGGTATTTAGAATGACAGCATTGGAACCTTACATTGTTTCTTTCATTGTGAGGATCTCCTACTTATACTTATTTATAAATCACACATTACAGGGGATGTTTATGACTTAGGTGTTATCAAATTTAAAAGAAGTCCATTTTTAACATATTCATGTTCTATTTCTATATAATTTCAAGGGATTGGTTTCAGAGGAATTCAGATCAACCAGTGAAAAAAATGTAAAAAGCATTTTTAATTTTATTTTGTTTGTCCTCTCCTTACCCCCATGCAAATGAACACCTGCCTACTCATGGTGGATATTACAAAGAGAATTCTGTAGGTTGAGGTCCTGCAGCCATACTCAAAGCTGCATTCACACAGCGTGTTTCTTCTCAGTGCTGACTCCCTGTATTTCTTACTTTTTACAATATCAAGTATTTCTGTCCTTGGCTTTGGTTTACATACATGATTAGCTTCAGCTAAGCTTAAAGATTTTCAGCTTAGTCCAGTAGAGTTCTCTGGTCAGAAATTTCTGTCATAGTATTCTTCCACTTCTGCTTTTGTAGAGGAAAAAATACTCAGTATTTTGTTACTCTTCATCAGTTTTCAGATAAGCAAATGGACCAAAAAAGGAGGAAACATTTTATTAGTACCATTTATAATTTAGCTACTGAAATGCCACAGTGTTCTAAATCATAACTGTGGCTCCACAGCTACATCTCTGACGTTTGAAGCTGGCCATTAGATGAAGTTTAATGGTATGATGGGATGACCTTGGCCAACAGCCAGAGGCCTCAGCTGCTCTCTCACTCGCTGTCCTCAGCAGGACCAGGGGAGAAAATAGGATGGGAAAGCACTTGGATTGAGATAAAGACAGGGAGATTTCTTACCAGTTGCCATTGTAGGCAAAAAAGACACAACTTAGGGAAAATTAAAATAGATTTGGGTACTGAGAAACAAACACAAAACTTAAAACAACACCTCCCTCCCTCCTTCTTTTTCCTAATCTGCACTCCATAGCTTTACTGTTGTCTCTTTCATGCCAGGGGGTGCAGGAGCATGAGAAATGGAAGCTGCAGACAGTTCATATCAGCTTCTCTCTGCTGCTCATTCTTCTTCACTCTTTTCCCTTGCTCCAGCATGAGTCCTCCCATGGGCTGCAGTCCTTCAGGAAATATGTGCTCCTGTGTGGGACCCTGCATGGGCTGCAGCTTCTTTTAGAGCTCATCAACTGCTCCAATGTGAGGTCCTCCATGGGCTGCAGTGTGGCTATCTGCTCTACCACGGACCTCCATGGGCTGCAGGGAGACAACCTGCGTGACCACAGGCTGCAGGGGAATCTCTGCTCCAGCAACTGCAGCACCTCTTCTCCCTCCTTCTTCACTTCCCTCAGTGTCTGCAGGGCTGTTTATCCCTTTTTTTTTTTCTCTCCTTCTCTGCCTGTCTGGCATTTTTTCTCTTTCTTAACTTCATTATCCCAGAGGCCATGGGGTCAGCTGTGTCCTGTGGTGTGTCCACTGGAGGCAGCTGCAGCCAAGGTTGTCCAGCACAAGGCAGCACCTGGCCTCTCCTCACAGAGGCCACCTCTGCTACCAAAGCTGTGCCACATAAACCCAATATAATTAGGAAAACTGGAAGGTGGTTTTATCAATAATATAATGAAATATTTGCAATTGTAGAAGACAGAGCAATAAACTTTGCTTGAGAAATTCAAACTTTTGTCATTTTTTCCCATCCTTGGATTTTCTGGATATAGGTTTAGAGGTTGCCCCACTGCTCTTGAAAGAAGGAAGTCCTGAACATCATGGCCATGTTCTGTCAAGCGTGTATTTTTAAATCTTAGTGAGCTACTGTTGCATACAAATCTTAGTCTTTATATTTATTGCTGATGTCACTTTAGTACACAGTTAATATAAAAGTAATTGTCTTTTCAACTTCTTGAGTGACTTATCTTCCAGACGATTGTTTTAGCTGTTGCAATTTATGGAATGTGTCAGCATGGGATACAGTGAAATTAGTGTTGATAAATAAAATGCATTTACAGCATGATTCAAAATTCAAGGCATATATTCGATCTTCTTTGGTAGCTGGAGAGTGATCTCTTTTTAGGTACATCCCATCAGATCTATATTTTGCAGCATTAATGAACTATACCTAGAGTGTTACTGTAAAGGTATTAAAATTTCATCATGAAATATGATTCTGAACTATTTTTACTGGGTAATAATGGAATGCACAGTAGACATTTCAACAGTGTTTTGGTAGTTGCTATTCTGAAATACACTGATAATTTCTGTGTGATTATTGTTGTTAATTCAGTTCATTTTACATGGTAGACTGTTATTATTAAATATATCAAGCACATAAGAAAAATGTTCCCTTTGGTTATCTATCTCATAATAGTTGCCAAGGCATTTTTGTTCACATTTTAGGGCATAGTCTGAATTCTAATGAATTGTCCTTTTTTGTGCTTTATTTCAACTTTGCGGTCAGCATATAATATCAGTATGTACTTCACTGTTGATGAAAACACTCTGATGAACAAATGTTTTGTATTTACCTTTCAAATTTTTGCCATCTATAAATTTTATTTTAACATGTGCATCTAATTGTTTACTTAAAGTGGCATTTTAAAGTATTTTTAAGTGGCTTTTTATAATCTCATTCTACCTTTCAAGGTATTAGATTATCTATGTAATGTTGCCTGGTAGCAACTGGTAGCATTCTCTCTTTTGAAACATTTGATATTCAGCTTTTTTTATTAATTGCAAAGGTTAATTAGAAACTATGGAAGGTTAATTACTGATTACAAATATTCTAGTGCTAGAAACAGTAACTGAGAATCTGCCTCTGCAATTACTCATTGAGTCATTATATGATTTTAGTTTTAGAAGTGAATCTGTTTCAATTACTGTTTCAGTTACAATTTTTTTTTTTTCATTCTGAGTAGTAAGAGAGTTTTACTGTATTATGTTCTGGTAGAAAAATAAGCAAAAGAGCATGCAAAGTCCAGAAGGAGCCTGAAATTTAAATTGAATCACAGGAGGATTTGATAGGTGAACCTAAATCAATTGCCAAGTATGAGTAGTCTGAAGCCATAGAAGGGACCAGTGAACATACATGCAGCATCTAAACACAAATTATATCTGGAAGGCCTAAACTTGAGAGCCAGAAAGTTGCACAGTTGCAGACACATTAAACTTGAGCAGAAATGGTCAGAGCACAGGCTAAAGAGTCCATGACAGTCCCAAATAAAATTGGGGTTGCTTGTTTGCTGTCTTTGTATTTTGCAGACAGTTCAATAATCTTGAAATTACATTGTGATGGGTTTTAGTTGCAGTGCCAGGATGAATTACACTATTGCCAGTCAGGTTCTGTGCGGTGCAATAAAATGTCTTTTTAATAAACAGAATGACACTAAAACACTGAAGAAGTGGATGGCTGAAGTGGATGTTTTTCTGAAGGAAGAGTGGCCTGCCCTTGGTGATTCAGAAGCACTGGAAAAGCAACTTGAGCAGTGTACAGTGAGTATTACCTGCCTGCTTGGCGATTATTCAGTTCTTCCCTATGAGCCTAGCTTACACAGAAGTTACACAAATTATTACTGCTCCTAAAAATAAATTCATGTTGCAAAAGGGTTGTCTTCTGCAATGTATTTGAGCCTCCTGCATTTCCTGGGTTTAAGGGAAAACTCTGTTAAAAAAATGAGAAACTAATACAGAGAGGAGGCATACAGTGACAGTATCATTATTTATAGCATGAGCAAAACATCAGAGAGTGTACCTGCACCAAATAATAAGTTATCTTAAGATAACTGTTTATTTACTTTGAGTTTACAAGCACTGCATGTGTATTTGTTATAAGCTGTATAATCTCTGCCAGAAGATACTTTTCTGTACCTATTATTTGCACATGATTTCCAGGCTTTTCTAACTGTACAAAAAGACCTTGCAAGTATTGTGAGTTATATCCTTTTTTATTTTTTCACTAAACTTACAAGTTCCAGAATTTTGTCCCGGAAGAGTTTTAAAGCATCATGAAATATTAATACTTCCATCACAGGGTTTCCAGTTTCTCCTGCCTGTCCCAACAGAGTGTGTAAGTGCAGTGAATCTGCTAACCCATGATAGTCCCTGTCTGTATGTTCAGTGGAATTTACAAGTTCTGCAAATGATCTGGCAGAATGTGTAAATATTATGAAACATGTATATTGATCTTACAGAACTTTAAGCAAGCTCTTTGGATCTTCTCTCTTACCTCTTATTTAAACAAAAATTATTATTAATTATATAAGACAACTCTCATGTCTGCAGAGCAGTAAGTTACATGTAACTCCTTTAGAATCTGTCACTTGAATTTATGAGAATTTTGCACAAATACTAGCCACTACTATCAAATATATAATGAAGATAACGAAATCTTAATCATCATTAATATGTTTAGACTTTCAACCTTTTCTGCTGTGTAGGAAATCCAGGCAACATCTGCAGCATTGAAGAAGGCCTTAGAAAATAAAATTGGAGGTGGCAATTTAGAACTACCTCAGGGTTTAAATAGTATTCAACCACAAATGCAATTGTAATAGCTAGACATAAGGAGAGACTATCACCATTCAGATAATTTTAGGGAATTTATCAAGAGAATTACCAACCCAAGGGTAATGCTGACATAGTTAATAAGATGGATTCACAAATAATTTTCCAACCTCATAATGGGATGCTCTTGCACAAATGTGAATAAAAGGTCTAGGCATTGTAATAGATATCATATATATAAGATAACACTATACATGTGTGTATATATAATACATGCATAACATTTAAAACTTTATATTATGTATTTTGCAAATTCACTTTATCTGATACAGAATAGCTTACCATGTTACAGCTGCTCATTCATTTATAATTCGTTTTCATAGTTAAGTCTGTAAATTGTGCTCATTTGACTGGAGATCTAGATGAAAGATATGTCAGAATCTCATGTAGACTCCTTTTGATAGGGATAATGTGTCTGAAAAATTGTGAGAATGCTGCTTACCTAATCTTCTGCTATTCCTTTAGGCTTTAGTAAATGATATCCAGACAATCCAGCCCAGTTTGAACAGTGTTAATGAGGTTGGGAAGAAAATGAAGAGTGAAGCAGAGACAGAATTTGCTTCCAGAATAGAGACAGAGCTAAAGGAGCTCAATGTTCAATGGGACCATATTTGCCAACAGGTATCAAGTCTCCCGCTGTGACCAGTTCATTCTAAAATAATAATAATCAGAGTTCTTATTGGCAGAATTTGTCTGTCTATGCATATCCAGTAGAAATGAAACTACATTTAGATATCTTTGTTTCACATTAATTAGACTTCTATTTTGGAAATTTTATTTAGCATGTAGCAATACATGTAAAGTATATATCTTTATATTATAATACAGTATCTTACTTTTTAATAAGAAAGCTATATACGGATATATTAGATCTTGACAGCAACATAATTTATGGCTTCTGCAAAACTCGCTTTCTGAAAGTGATATATAGGCACTTGCCAAAAAAATCAAGTTCTATATTTAGTCTATTACATTTTATTTTGCATTATTGTACTTGTGTGTTGTTATTCTAGATGAGATAAGGTGTTAAAGCAGTGAAGAATTCAGAATTCAGTAACTTGGAATTAAGACTATGTGCATATATATGCATGTGTATAAATTACAGTCTCCAGTGGTTACACGAATTTGCAAGAATGGGGCATAACAGGAAAGAACAGTTCTTTTATTTTAATTAAAGACATTCTTAAATAATTTTACAGATTAAGATAGCTAAAAATAACTATTATTTTATTGATGGTATTTGGATTCTCATTCTTTACGTCAGTTCAAAGGAAACATCTTTCATGTTGTATTATTTTTACTTTTTCTTCTACTAACACCTTTTGTCTGCTTTCTTAACAAGTATTTGCATAACAGTAAAATCATTATGTTTCAAGGTGGTCTATTGTTTTCTAAAATGTTTATTCTTCACATTACATGTTAAAAATGCCCTCCATATATTTTTCTGATAAACTTATTTATCAAAAAAGTTGATATTTGAAATCTGTAAGACATTTTATTGATCCAGTCCTGTAGTCTTTGACTAATGTGGAGGTTTTGATTGCTTATTTTTGTTATATTAATGAGATACCTTTGCACTTTTCTCCCAGAAATTTCAAGTAATGCATTATGAGTTCAGAAGTCTGACTTCTCTGAAAATCTCCCTGTAATTGTTCCATTCACTACACAGCACAAATTGTTACCTCTCGGTGGTGGGCATTTTTAACACAACTTCTTCAGTAATAACTATTAAAATACAGGAGTAGTAAATATAAAAATCTGTTTGACCTATGGAGATTTCTTGAAAGGAAATTCATCTTGAGTTGATATACATGAAGTTAATAGGTCTGTGAGAGATAACAACTGGCATTGAGATATTCTTTCCAGGTGATGGAAGATTACCCTCTCTTCTTGTACAGCACGCTTCTTGTGCTGTAATTGAGGAAGAGGCAACTTTGCAGGGCAGCATGCTTGTTGAACATCACCTTTTTATTGTTACTCTGTTTTGTTCTGTAAAACATTTATGTAGAGCAAGATTTATGTTTAACAGCCAGTCCTTGAGGATGGATAATGAAACCAGTAACAGTCAGAAAAAAACCAAATACTAAGACACAGTTCCTTCTGATGATACTGAAAATATTTACTAAAGTAGCATCACAGTGCAGGATATCTTAGTGATCGCTTCTGCATGCCCAGCTTTGAAAAGTGACACCAGTGCAACCAGCTGGTTTTGTTGCAAACTTTATGCTATTGAAAGATGGCTCAGCCAATGGCTCTATCAGTTACAGACAATTTTGATAAGTTGATGCACAATTCATAGAATCATAAAATGGTTCGGGTTGGAAAGATCCTTAAAGATCATCTTGTTCTAAGTATATGCATGACCTGTAAAACATAAATTATGTGACTCCTATATAGTGATTGGCAAATGATTCAATAAAAGCATTTTCCCTTTAAAATAAGTAATTTCTTCCAGTAGGATATTCTTTTTTTACTTATCTCTCTTTAGGACATACACGTTTCTGAGAGATTCAATAATGACTTTGTCAGTAAAAGAAACATGTGCATATTGCTTTTTTTCTAGCAAGCTGCATTCAAACTGGTTAGAAGGTTTTCTGACTTTACAACTCAAAAGCTTCTTATTTTATCCTTGGGTGCACTTTCAAGATCTCCTGTGGTTGTTCTTTTTACATCTTTTAGAAGATAGTCCCTGGTTGATGTTTTTTCAGATTTGTTTGCTGATGACCACAGCATATCATATAGAGTCTTGTTATAGGATCATTGAAAAGTCATTCTGCACAGCAATGAATCACTAAAAAAAGAATGTGTACCCATGTGTAATACTTTCTCAATTACTTATTATTAATATCTATTTAATTGCTTGCTAACATCTGCCTAATTACAGAAATGTTATTAGTACAGGATTTAATTTCATTTTTTCAGTCTAAAATATTATCATTTGTACAGAAGCCTTGCTTCAAGTACCATGTAATGTTTTCTTTCTTAAAGGCCTATGCTAAGAAGGCAGCATTAAAAGGTGGTTTGGATAAGACTGTTAGTCTCAGAAAAGATTTGTCAGAGATGCATGAATGGATAACACAGGCTGAGGAAGAATATCTGGAAAGAGATTTCGAGTATAAAACACCTGATGAATTGCAAAAAGCTGTTGAGGAACTGAAGGTAAAAGACAAACTAATTCCTTGAGCTGTGTTTAAAGTTATTTTTGAAGTTTTCATTGTAAAGAAAGTCTGATCTTTCATTTAGATAAGCGCTTTTTGAGATCTACTTGTTAGACTTAAATTTAAAGAAGCAGGCACCTTCAAGTAATTTCTACTTGGAGTATCCTGGAAGGTATTTAATCTTTCACAATACTGCATTGCTTTATTTTCTCTTTGTTTTACTGGATATTTGATTTTGCAGCTTCAACATTCTTTTACTTAAGGAATAAGTGCTAAGAATCAGGTGTTTGTAGCAGTTAACCAATAGAGTGAAATCAGTTTTATGTCTTCTTTTTATATTGGTGAGAGAGAAATAGATGTAGTACTTCAGCATATATAGTATGTACTAAGTGTGCGTGATCTATTTTATTTCTTTAATATAACAATATATAGGAACAGTGTATTTTTGTCTCAAGTAAATAATATTTCTTTCATGTGGGATGAATATGGCCTTTGAACAAAACCCACTAATTTGTGATAAATGCTCACATATACTTTTGTTCAGCCACCGGATGTGGGCTTGATTTTTATGTCATAAGTGAATCGTTTGGCCTGTGCTATTCTATGACTATAACAATCCATCCAACACTTTGTTTGCAAACTCTTCATTGTCCATAGGGTTTTGCCAACTACTACAACTTCTTTTTTCCAGAGAGCAAAGGAGGAAGCCATGCAGAAAGAAGTGAAAGTGAAGCTTATTACTGATTCTGTGAATAATTTTATAGCAAAGGCTCCACCTGCAGCTCATGAGGCTTTGAAAAAGGAGCTGGATGTTCTAATTACCAGCTACCAGCGGCTCTGCAACAGACTGAATGGAAAGTGCAAAACTTTGGAGGTTGGATATCTGTCAGTCATTGTATTTATAGTTCTTCTTTCTAACTGCAAAAGTAAGGTAGAGAGCAAAGATGTATTGTCATATGAGATCAGTAGCCCAAGGCTGCCTTCACTTAGAGCCCTATACCAAATACCACATGGTATGATCCATATAACTAAATCCTCTTGAGATTCGTATATGCTGGAAACTTAAGTTAAAAGAGAAACCTCAGTCCTGGCTCTTAGGTGGGAGACAGTAATGGCTGCTCAGGGTTCTTATTCCTTTTGAGATTAAGCCAAGAATCTATCTTCTGTAGTAACCCTGTGACATTGTCTTCACTAGCTCCTCTAGGCTTCTTTCTTCCATGGCTAGGGATTTTTATTAAATGGCCCTGAAGCTGAACAGGTGGTATTATTTCAGCATGGGAACAGCATTTGATCTACTGGCAAGCTGAGTACATCTCATGCATTTTAAGCTGACCCTGCCATTTTGGCCAAATCTATTCCAGATTCTAATATCCCACTATAACATCCTTTTTGACCAGACATGTTTGATGTGATCAAAGTTAGGTGAGATGAATCGCACTCTGGGAAACTTGATCTACAAACAGCCTAATGCATCTCAATAAAATTAATATAACTTCTACTAACAAAAAAGGAACAATGAAAAGATGATTTATGGAGAGTTAAGATGTTTTGATTATGTACAGTGTCATTATTATCTGCTTATTTAAGTATTTCCAGGCTCTGTAAAAATAAAAAAAATAGACAATAGTTTAATTCCAGGAGAATAATTTACAACATTATGTTTAGTACTGTAACACTTAAGTGTTCTATAAGTGGCACTAAATGTGGTTTAGTATTAATTTCCTTAGAGATTTCTTTCAGGATTCTTGAAAGCTGTGTTTTTAGACATTTTATGAATCTGTGCTTTAAGTAATTAACATATAGAATATATAAGCAACCTAAATACACCTTGTAATAAAGACATAAACTTTAATATGAGTATTTAAAAATTCTGATAATTTTTTTATATTGTTTATAACAAAGTTTTATAGAAAAGCATATAAAGTGGATAATTAATGAGACAGAAGATTCAAGTTGTAGTTTTTACAAGTATTACCTTTTTCATGTTATCATCTGTGGTTTTACTCTGATTAATAAAAATTTTGGTTGTGTATTGTATTTATTTGGAGAATAGAAATACTGGGAAAAAAATATCAACCATATGGTACCGTAACCATCAGATATCAACCATGTTGTTTTGGGGATGAAGTATGCAATATTTTCAATGTTTTCGTAAGTGAAAGTTAGCTGTGAGATTTTCAATCTCAATAACCTTTTTTTTTTTCATCCAACAGGAGGTATGGGCATGTTGGCGTGAATTACTGTCTTATTTAGATGCAGAAAATAAATGGTTGAATGAGATCGAAACGAAACTCAAGGCAACTGAAAATATTCAAGGAGGTGCAGAAGAGATTTCTGAGTCTCTAGATGTAAGTGCTGACTTAAATAATATTAATTCACATGTAATGATAAATTCTAAATCCCATTACATTCAAAACAAACCATGACTTAACATTACACATAGCAAGATGCAGAATATTCGGAAAGACCTATGTTCTTACTTGATTCAACAAATGAGATTTTGAATTCAAATCCACCTAAGTGAAGCAGAGTAACTAAATGTGTTACGCCTCATGTTACAACAATTTTTCGTGACAGTAAAATGTTCTTAGTAAACGTGGCCTCTCTTAAGCCAGTCAAAAATGTTAAAGACTTCTGAGAGAGCAAGCTTTCATCCTAGCACTGCAGCTCTGTTTATTATTACTTAATTTTTATAAATGGATCCTTTCAAATTTGTAGAAATTTGTAGATCAAAATAGAAAACATTACACTGACTACAAAACATTACACTATGACAAAACAGAAAACATTACATTTGCTGTTGAACTCCTTCCATTCAGATACGCAAGCATTTTTTTTTACCTTTAGAGTACACAAATACTCCCACTGGTCTCATTGGGCATAGCCCCCTTTTTAAAATCAAGCACTCAATTTATTGCTTTGGAAAAAAAATCTTTATTTGTTTTTGGTAATAGGTAGTACAGAACATTTATTGGTAAGACATGGGACATAGATATTTTGATCTTTTCTCTCTACTTGTGGTGTGTAGGAAATGTGAAGTTTCTTCTATTTTTAAGGGGAACAGTGCTTGCTCTGTAGAATCTTATTTGCAGAAAGGAAAACAAACTACTTTTTTAATCTAATTTCAGTCTTTGGAACGTTTAATGAGACATCCAGAAGATAATCGCAATCAGATTCGGGAATTGGCTCAGACTTTAACTGATGGTGGAATCTTGGATGAATTGATCAATGAGAAACTTGAAAAGTTCAATACTCAATGGGAAGAACTTCGGCAAGAGGTATAGTTAATCATTGACCTGTCTTCCCATTAAACAGCTAACAGTATAGCACCATTTTAAAAAAAAAAGGTATTTTGTTGGTATAGTTCTTAAAAAGTACACAAACAAAGAATTATTTTAGAAGTGGACAGTTTGTGCACGTATTATGGGTTAGCTCCACTAGGTAGCAAAGGACCACATGGCTGCTTACTCACTTCCTATGTCTCCTGGTGTGATGGGGGAGGGAATTAGAAAGGCAAAAGTCTAAAACCACATGGACTGAGGTGAAGACAGTTTAACAAGTGAAAGAAAAAAGGGGGGAAAGCAAGTGATGCAAAACCAATCATTTGCCACCGGGAGACTAATGCCCAGCTAGTCCCCAGGCAATCACAATTTTGGAAAAATTTACCCCCAACCCTCTTTTGTTGCTCTGTGTGGTACGGCATATCTCATATCAGTTCAGGTCAATTGTCCTAGCTGTGTCCCTTCCCAGCCTCTCGCCCACCCCCAGCCTACTCACTGGGAGGGGCAGAGTGAGAAAGAGGAGGCCTTGACATTGTGTAAGCGCTGCTCAGCAATAGCTAAAGCATCCCTCTGTTATCAATACTGTTTTGTTCGCTGATCTAAAACACAGCACCATATGGACTGCTGTGAAGAAAATGAACTCCATCTCAACCAAAACCAGTACAATAAAAATTCCAAAACTGAAGTGACCATCTAGTAGATTTAATCTTCTATTGCATATTTAGGGATGCTTTCTGTTAAAACTCTTAGTGAGAAGAAAACTATTTTCAAAATTAAATATAAGAATAACATTCTCTTACAGATACATTTTGCTAAATAATAGTGTCTTTGTATCAATGAAAGATTTAATAAAGACACTTCAAAATAGAAACATATTTAGCACAAGGAGAGTCAAATCCAGCCATATGCTAGATTAGCAAGCTTTGCCACAGACTCATGATGAAAACTTTACTAGTTCTTTGACAGATCCCACCAGTGGTACAGTATACCCTTTTGCTGGTAGATAAATTCAAAACTATGATACTTGTGCATGAGTATTTTCTTTTAATACTAGGAGTTTATTTAACATACGTATTTGTGTGTACTATTGCAAATGTGTGTGTACTAATGCAAATGTGTGTGTATGGCAGGACTAAACAGAATTCAGCAAAGAATTCTGAGATAACCAAAGGATACATAAAGAAACAGCTCAACTACTAGTAGTTTACTAGTAACAAAGATGTGGCCAAATGCTAAATAAATGCAGAGCAACCTTACAGGACAGAGTTATAAGGCAGTTAAATTACATAAATATTCAATGCAAATACATGAGAACTGACTTCATATACAAAATTGTATCTTTTGAGCTGATTGTTACTGTACAGAAGGAAGATCTTGGATTTATGAAGATAAATATCAGGAAGATGTTAGGTCAGTACTTGGTAAAGATCAGAAAATAATTTGAAAGACCTAGAAAAGAACATAGAAACCCTCTTTATGACTGGAACCAGAAAATGTTCAAAGATGAGCTACAAAGACTGTCAAAAGTTATTCGGTTTCAATGTTATAAATTATGAACAAGCAAAGATTTTTGGAAAGTAGCTGTAATAGAATGATAATAATCTCCCATGACAATGATAACATTTTTACTTCTTTCATGGTGCATAAATATACTTGTTCTTGAAAACAGAGGAAGTAAAAGCATTATAATAAAGATTAAGGAAGGGCTGTCAGCTGTTCTGAGCTTCAACTTGAAGGATGGAGAGGGAAAGGGCCTAGTTCCCTCTACTAACTGCCTGGTGGTAGTGCTGGTGCAGTGCAGGCATTCATGTAGTTCCACATCGCTGGACAGTGTCATAGCAGAAAATGAAACATAACCTTCTGTGTACCCGCTCTTTTTTCTGTTTTGTTCATACATCTAACTTCTGTTTGAAAGCAAATACATTGCTTTGATTTCTGCTTCTTCGTATCTGTTTTCCTGACTTGGAGGAGAAATCTTGGAAATATACAGAGGGCTTCCAGTGTGTGAAAAAAGGACTTTCAAATAGTTGTGCTAAGTGATGGATTAATACTATTCAGTCTTCACAGTAATTGGCATTAAATCAAAATTCATGCCAGCTGCAGGGATTAAATATGGAAAGTACAACATGAAGGTGTGAAATTCTGGAGACAATTTGGATAAGTATATAAGCAAAATATGTTACAAATGGCTTCACTGCTTTTCTATTAAATTTAAATATAGACAAAAAGTGAGGGGGACAGGGGGAAAAGCCCCATCTCAAAAGCCCCCTCCCCTTCTTTGAAAGCTTGATCTGATAATTAGTAGTCAAATACTAATGGTGAGATCTGTATATGACTAAAGGAGCTGTAAAGAAACTATTTCAATCACAAGTGACTCAGTTACACTGCTTCTTTACTCTATTTTGTCTACCACAAAACATTTTGTTAATTTTTCCACTGAAGTTTCACACACTTTTTTTCATAGATTCTTGACACTGAATTTTTTGTGCTGTTGAAATCCAAACAGCATGAACTCTCCTTGCATAAAAATACATTGCAGGCACATAACATTATTCAGCTTGTGTTCAAGGTCACTTCCATTTCAGACAAAGCAATGATCTATCCTAATGTGGGTAAGTTATTTATTTTTATTTGAATAATTGTGCAGGTAATTATCAAGACAATAAGCTCATATGGGCAGAAACTGATATATGAAATATTTATTCATGACTAATAGAGTAACCAACCCACTGCTATATGAATGATGCTGCGAGACGTTGCTACTGAGATAGAGATTCATTTTTAAAGGCAGATAATAGCTTAATGTTTGTATGCCTTATCTTCTTTAGTTAACAAAGACTGAGTGTGTTTAGTTTGCTTTTCAACATCTGGGGCTGATCGATAAGCAACACGTACCCTATCTTTACTTTTCAAGGACTGAGTCACTTACAACTCTATATATCGTATCTAAAAAACACTGTTGCCAGAAGAACTTCAAGCTAATATTGCAAATGGTTATCATCCCCTGTAATGCTGAAAGTGATTTACATCCTGTCCACCAAACCTCCAGAATGTCACCTAGATATTCTTGAGACTATTGTTGCAAAAAGTTGTATAAAATGTTATTGTTGAGATGGGCCTTATACGAGATTCAATTTTTATTCTTGAGAACTGTCTCTTTCTCTTAGGACTTTCCTCAAGATTACCCTTTGTTTCTCATTTGTCAAATTCATCAGTTGACACAATTATTCTGTTTTGTTCTCCTCTCAAGAGGAGAAAGCAGCTTTCAAAGCAATAACATGGAGATGAGGCATGAAGCATTCTAAGAGGGTTGCTTTTACAAGCTCTGAGGCACCATCTGTCTGGAGTGGTAACCTAAAGAGATAAAGTACACCTTGGTATAGTTTGCAGTTTTGGAATACAACTGATCTAAGATGAACATCACTTTGGGATTGAAAAGTCAAATATTTATAGCCATTTACTTTAAAAACACGTTATGAAGTATTACTGGAAATTGCAGAAGAATTAGTTCTAGCTTGGAGGGTAATAAAACTTCCTAGGCCTAAAATTAATGCTTTAAATGTTAGAAAAGGTGTTTCTAATTTAAGTCTAAACATGAATCGACTCTGACTTAAAACAAAAAGAGGAGATTAATATATTAACAGTTTGATGCAAAACATATAGAGATATTGTAACGTATCTCAGACATAACTGCTATAACATCAAGAATTTAAAGTAATTTAAAGTAGTTTAAAGGAAATGTAAAGTTTTAACTTTTGACTTTTTAACTTTGCCTTATGGTAACATTTCTCGATTAGAGACTATAACTGAGACAAAAAAAGAGCTAACTTAGTTCTCTTTCTTAACAGACTCCTTTCCATGAACTGTAACTTATCAGCTAATTAATGAATTCTGCATTATAAATAAATATACTCTGCAGTAAAAGTACTAGAATTTTGGAAAGCTTTTAATTTTTCTGCCACAGCACAACTACTTAGTACTGCCTCAACAACAAAAGTCTAACTGGTTTTAACCATAGAACTCTAACCAGCATCTTAGTAACTGCATGTATGAATAATGTCATTAAACACATAAAATGTATTATTTAAGGTAAAAATGTGGTAATGCCTATAAATATATCTTTATAACATTCAACATTAAAGAATGAGCTACAGTCATTAGCAACTGTTTGAGTACCTCCAACTTTCCTGATATTTTATTGCCTCTTCATGCAGCCTTTCTCTCAATATGGCATCTTCATGGCTAATACGCAATGTTACTGTTTTGTGCATTTGCTATTAATCTTTGTTAAATTATAAACAGATTTATGCAATATACCATATCATCAAAATTAAAAGTTATGCTTAATCATAAAAATTAAAAATCTATAAAAACCTGTAGAGAGTTTTACAAAAAGTTATGTCTATAAATAGTTTTTTCTCCTTTGTTCTAATAGTAACTAACAGCAGATATTTTGTTTGTTTTTATTTTCCTTGACAGCTGTCAACATTTCACTGGCTCAGAAATAATTAAACAGTTGGTTATTTTCCTGAGATTTCCTATTTAGCAATTAACTGTCAGACACTTCCCTTTAGAGACTAAAGCCTTCAGCTTTATTGACTATGATCTGATAGCAGAGCTAGAGCTTCCTGATATGTTCTTGGGCCCATTTATACACTGCAATGTTAAACCAGCTATTTCTTCCACAGAGGACTACAAAAAACATAATCTTTCTTGGAAAAAAGTAAAACCCACACAAAGCAAACAAACAAAAAACAGAATCCAAAACACCAGAATGTAAAATTTTTTAAAAAAAATTATAGATATATAAGCTATTTCAGACTTTTGTCTTTTAAAAGTACACATATACAGATTTGACTGACTTCATGTTTGTTTGAAATCCAGCCATAATAATTCGGTCAGACTCGGGCAAGGATTTGTTGTGATTCTTTCCTACCTTTATCTGCTTTAATATTTGATCAACGAGTTTAGGAATGTTTTATTTTCCAGTTGTATTTTAGAACAGGATTTTGATATACATCGTTTCCACTGGTATTAGCACAGAAATGACAACTTTTCAATCACCGCATATTTGTCATACAATTTTAAGACTTTTTGTGAGTTTTCATGCAGTGATAACTGCTGCTTTGCGTGCACTCAGGCTGCTCCTGAGGCTGACAGAAAATTTATCTATACTTAAGCAAGTGCATAGCTGCAAATAATATTTAGCATGGATCAGCATTTAACAGAGGTTCAAAGCTTCCAATATTGCCGTAAAAGTAGTTTTTCAGAAGAACTTAGTACCAAGTATACTTACTTAGTGTCCAGTATATTGAATTCTCCAGAAAGTGCAGGTACTTATTTTAACGACAATGAATGGAACTTTCTTGATGTCTTAAATGATGAGCTTTTCTGAACACCAGAATACCACAGCCTTCTGTATGAAGAGACTATGCATTTAGTTTAGTCCTACCAGTTAGCCAAAGAGATCGATAAAGACAGAGAGGTTTTCTTCCATCCTTCCAGGAGGATGCCTTTTCCCATGGGCCTTAGAAACCTACTTACCCTGATTTCTGATCTACTGCATCTTTCAGTCTACTGTATAGTGGTGCAAATGGAAAGGCAGAGTGTGACTGTATCTTAGCCAGGCTTACAAATTAGTAGTAAGGAGTGCCAAGGTAAATGGACACTGTGGGTTTTAACCTCGCTGCTTTGAACAGACACAGAACATTGTAATATAAAATCTCAAATCAAATCAGATGAACGTAAAAGTCATTTAAGTAGCAAGCCTTGGTACTGTGCTGGGAAGTTACACTGTTTTAATGGTTCATTTGGTGGAATAATAATACTTTAGTGGCTCAGGTGCTTCCATTAACACTGACAGCATGGGTCCGATATATAAAGCTGCTCAGTTCCACAGAAGGTTCCTGGAATTGGCAGTGATACAAGATTATCTAATCAGCTGTTTTGAAATAGCACAAAGCAGCTTACAAGCACAAATATAGCAAATACCGGTTAGATCTCTATCCTTCAACTAAGTTAAACAGCTAGCAAGAATGCTCACACCAAAACAGTATCTTTTTCATTAGTTAAATGTGAAGCTCTACAAGAATCTGAGCTCTGTGAAGCAGGTATGGATACATCAAGATTTCTCAGTGAACTGCTGAGAGAGATTTTTGTTCAAGGAAGAGTTTTGTAATAGCTATGAAATCAAATAAAAGTATAGCTGGCTCACCAAACAGGGGAAGTGTGATTTGACTTGAAAAATGGCAGGACACCTAGCAATGTTATTTAAAGGTTGCTTGCCTTCCCCCTCGTCCTTTGATTAATGTCAAAGAAAGTTAGTCACTTTATTCTGTGGTCAGCAGTATGGCTGGGCTTGTACAGAGAAAAACTGTATTGCATGTGAGATTGTTGGCATATAACAGAAACGTCTAGGTAATAGCTGTAGTCTAAATAAAATACAGACTGCAGGTGAACACAGTGACAGATGGAAGAAAGTATAATTTTCTTTATTACCTGGGAATTACTATATTAAACTGTTACAAGTAATAGTCAAAGCTAACCAATTTATGTGAAATGTTTAAATATATGTGTATTTTAAGGAAAACTTGGAAGAAAAAATTATTGTTCTGATCTGGTAAACCATAAAGGGAGCTCCTTTAAAGGAAAGTATCGTTCTCAAAAAAGTTATTTTGTAGAAAGTGATGGTAGGCAATTAATGGTGGCACTGAAGGTGGCCTAGAAGAAAGACTCAACTTTCTAGACTAAAATAGACTATTGTTAGAGTGATAATAAGTGGGACAGGTTCACAGACAAGACAAGACATGGATCCATCTCTTTTTTTTTCTTTTTTTTTTTCCTCCAGAGTAGGCATTGCCTGTTACAGACACCTATTTATACTTCATATAAGAGAGCTCCTTCTCAAGAGAGACTTTATCCCTCTCACTTACTGAAGTGGATTGTCTCAGATGGGATTGTGATGACAGTAACCCTATTCTCAGTAATCAAAATCTCTTGAACTATATAATAAGATCAGGAGGACCGCAATGCCTCAGAATGAAAGACGGCACTATCAAGATGGTTTTATTATGCAGCTTTGCCAACTTCCACTCCATATAGAAATCCTCAATGCATGCATTGGTTTTTCAGAGTCCTATATGTTTTATAACTTGTCTATGTAGTCTGGGGTTTTGTTTGCTTATCTCTCACTAAAAAGAACTGAATGAGTGGCAAAAAGATGCGCAACTTATCGTATAAAAAGGTGGATGAGCACAAGTCAGGAGTACCATTTTTGATTCTTAACCTGCATTTTTTTTTTTAAAGTGGGAAAAAATGAATTATATGTATTATTGCTGTGACTGTTGATAACAATGTCCTTGTTTTTAGGCCGTGAGAAGACAAAAGAGTCTTGAACAGAGTATTCAGTCTGCCCAGGAGACTGACAAAACCCTCCGCTTAATCCAGGAGTCTCTTGGTGTTATTGACAAACAGCTAACAGCATACAGTGCAGACAGAGTCGATGCAGCACAGGTCCCTCAGGAGGCACAGGTAAGTTATATACAGGTTGCACTGATGTGCTTACTGGTTTTCTCAATCAACCAAAGAGTTGATTAAGAGTTAAGACTTAAGTTGTTAAGAGTTAAGAGTTGATAAGCCTGTTATTAATAATGGGGATTTACAAAATTATCAGTGTGAAAATGCAAGTAAATTTTGAGAAGTTCAAGCTAATTTTCTCATAAAGTCATATTTTCCTTCTGGTTTATATTATGTGCCTGTCCAAAAGATGTGAAGAACTATAAATGTCGTGGAGGACTATGCAGTAACTTTAAAATGACAAAGATAAACCATGTGAGTCTTTAAAATCCAGTTCCCATCCTAGACAGAAGAAACTCATCATCTTCAATACTCATAGATGGCTCTTTTACAAAGTTGATTATGTGGCCTACGAGTTGTTAATAAGTTATTGAAACATAGACAACATTGTTAATTTTTTTTCATGATGTGCACATAAATGTACTTCTATTTCAATTTTTACAGCTCATATAAGTTTAACAGAAACAGCTTTTCCCATTCCTTAGAAATGGTTTATTGAGCCTTTGAAATAAAATTGTACATGTAATTCTCATTTTTACTCTTTCATTCTTTCTTCTGTAACATCTGCTTTACTGCAGCATTAAAATGGTAAGAATAAAGATTAAATAAACCCAAACATCTCTGGTATAAAATTGTTAACAGTTTACAGATTATGCACAGCAATTTTTCTGTAAATTCCACCTATGGGAAGTGAGATTACAAAACAAACAAAAAAGGCTACAGGGAAATAGAAAATGAATGCTTTATAATAACTTCAGTAGAGGTATTCAATTGTGGTTTTTCTGGCATGCCTATAGAGTTTTAAATAATTACAAAAAATTAGTGTCTTGTATAGAGTAGGTTTGATAATCTTAAATATATCCAGAGCTAAATATACATAGCCCTGAAAATCATGTTTTCTCTCCTTTAAAAATAAAGTTTTCCATGTCTTTTGAATTGAAATGTAGATAGATGTACCTTTCAGTTGCTTTCTGTATGTGTGTGTATGTGTCTGTAGGTATATGCAGCTGTTTTTAAGTCTCTATGTATGAATTTTAAAAGTTGTATTTATAAAAGAAGATCATATTTGCATTCACTCTTAGTTTGAAACTGAATCTGATTTTTCGCTTGTCAGTGTAATAGGATCAGGTTCAGATGAAGCATTGTTACAGTTTGAATCCTAAACTGTCAGCTATCAGATGACCCTCCTGAATTATTTTTCTTTGCAATGTGAATAATGTAAAAAAATTTTTGATGAAATAGGATACAAATCAGCATTAGTTAAAGATGCGTCAGTTTAATTTCTCATCTTGTAATTGCATAACTCTAATACATAAGAAAAATTTGATATGAATGTATCCTTTATTTTCTGGTGTGTTTAAACCCTATACATTGTAGCAATTTTCAGCGGTGCTTCATATATCCCATGGATGCATCTGGTTTATGTGCATTCTCAGGTACGATATTGACAATGATCACAGACTGTGTAAAAGGAAGTATTTCGGAACTTCAAAAACTGAGGCAACATAAAATTCATCCAAGCATAATTAGCACAATTTCATGCGAAAATTTCAGCTCATTGCTTTTGCAGAACTGTTTTTTGTTCTTGAGATGTTATTGTCTGATGTGGAGTTCACCTGATTACACTGTGGGAAAATCAGCATAGAGGAGGCTGAGTTTTTCCCCTTTCATGTTTTCATTTTAGGATGCCAGTGGGACCTAATGAAAAAAATGTAATTAACAACTGAACAGATTCAATGCAAATATTGAAGTTCTCTGAAGTTCAGTAGTGAAGTTATTTAAAATACTTAGAGAGAAAGGGAATAAACAATTTTATGTGGGTAAGTGTACTGAGGCATTCCTTTAGTAAATGGCCATGCCAACCAGTGGCAGAATAGGCACTTACTGAATGGCTGCCTCTCCTGTGGAGCCTCTGCTGGCACAGCTCTTTTGTAGAGCTGAGAACATTCATGTAAGGTACTCTACAATAGTGTCTGCAAAGCTTTAATAGGAATCTTTCAGTCAGTGATGTTGGTTTCTGGACGGGGGGGTCAGTTTATCGTTGCTGAGGGATTTAGCAAACTGTTGCGTAATATGAGTTGCATTTCTAGAAGAACATATGGGAGAATTTATAATCAGAAATCTGTTGAGGGTTTGGGAGCTCTGTGTGTTTGCTTCAAAAATTCAAATCTATTTAGAGCTTTGGTAGGAGGAATAATCTTTGGTTCAGCTAATTGATAATGAATCTGAGAAAACAAACTTATATTTAGCACCTCTTTTTAAATTAAATTATCAGTTTAGTTTATTCAGAAAGTTGACAGAAAGAAAAAGAAGTTCGATACGTGCTGTTCATCTTCTCCTCTGGATGTTTTTCAATGTAAATTCCATGTGCTTATTACTCCACCATGTGGCACTGAGTATTTAATGCAAGAGAGCCACTGCCACCCAAGTTTCTCCTTACTAACTCATTTTGAATACAACTGAAGATGCTGTATTCAGACAGAACAAAATGAAATTAGGAGAATAAATGAACAATATTGTGTTTCTGAGAAAAGCAAAAGTAATATATTTTGCCTTTTCAATAAACTACTTGAATAATTTCATTTCTGTAGTAATAACCACTACATGCCTGCCTGTTTTCTAAATTAAGATGGTTATTAATCTTTTTTTAAAATATCATTGTGCTATGTTCAAAACCAAAGTTAATGTGATAATATAATGGCAGTATTGTTTGGTTGTGTAATTTGTCACTTGACAAGAATAATGCCATGCTTCATTGCCTTCAGACTAATATTTTGTGACAAAGAATTCACAATTGTCTACCTTTTAAATTGTCTAATGTTAAAACTATTTACACTTACTTTTCCTCTGCTGGACATGTTGAGAATTATTTTGTTCACCCATGTGTAGATCAATGGTCAAAGAGAAAATAGCTCATAAGTGTTATTCAGAAGCCTAAGCTTACATTTTGTTGTGTATTAAGTTTGAATATCTATGCAGATTTCTGTATTCACACCCTACACATCTCCATAGCATCTGAACACTGCATTAACTGTACTTTAACTGCACTTGTCATGTCTAGCTTATTCAGTCTTGCCTTTTCAATTGTGCTTCTGTCATCTGATGATTTGTTCTTCTCATTTGGACTCTTCAATTAACATTTCTTGAAGAGTAGTGTCCAAAACTAACTAGACTGTTCTTGTTGAGACATACGTGTATATCATTCCAGTTATAACATCATCTTCTGTATGTATTATATGCTTTTCTTCTTTTTTTTTTTTTTGCAAAGGTGTGACATCATTGGCACATATTCTTTTTGTTCATTTAAAGATGGGTATTTCAACTTCATTTTTCTAGTCTTCTAGTACTTTGTTTATCAAAGGTAACCACTAACAGTTCTGAAATGCTTCAGATATGTTTTTAATGTCTGCTAGAATAATGATCTTTCAATTTATAAAGATTAAGATACCAGAATACTCTCTAAATGTTTTATTTTCTCCATACATTACCCTGACTCCTTAGGCATTGATAAGCAAAAATGAGGTTAAACTGAGCACCATTCTTGAGAGCTCTTAGACTATCTGAGTAGTATTTAGAGAAATACAAATCAGAAAACCTAATACACCAAGAAGAGCTGGCAAGCTGTTCTCTGCAGTTCAAGAAAGCTGCAAATTCATATCCAGGCAATTTTGGTGTAAGAGTTATGTGAAGGACTCATTAATTACAAAAGTAATCTAGTATAACTTGAGTTCATCACAAATTAGTTCACAAGAAAAGCAGAGAACAAGTAGAGGTTAACCATTTTACCTGAATCATGTCACTTTTTCATCAACTTCTTGTGCCACTACCGAACTCATGCTGTCAAGTCCAAGCCTTTTTATGCAGTAAATCTTAATGAAATCCATAGTAGAAAAGTGATGTTCTAGGCTAAGCTTAGACCTTGTTTTCCTACAACAAACAGTGGAATAAACTTCTGTTAATGTAATTGTCCTTGTCTTCAGAACCACCACTTACTGCTGAAAGATTTACTACTCTGGCTATGTAGATTTCAGTTAGAGAGAATTAAAACACTATTCAGCTGCCCAATATTAGTATTGCTTGATGTTGCTGGAGGATGTGGGATATGGCCAGATGAACGTGGGTGTAGTAAAGGATAGTTTAACTGCTTAGTTTATTTTGTATTGCATGGTTTGCGTAGTATGTTTTGCTTATAACTGTCTATGAGAAGGGAGCAGCATAGTTATTTTCTGTGTCCTCCAAACTTGGGCCAAAGCATTTTCTCTGAGCACAAAGATGTTGACCTGGGAGCAGCTTCTGGGAGCCCAGGGGGATAGAAAAGGATATTACCCCTGGGTTGGGGTGTGCAGCCCCCTCCCACTGCAGGAGCGCCTGTGAGAGCAGTGGACGGTGCCATACCCAGCCCTCAGGGTTACCTGCGTCTACCTACCATAGATTCTGTTTACCCCAGAATGACACTGAAAGGTCCTAGGCAAGAAATAAATATTATGAGGAAAGGACCAGCTCTGCAAGGTCAGAGAGAGGTATGAAAAGGTTTTTCTGTCTACTGTGTATAACCCAAGAGATCCAAGTGTCCTCTCTTTAAGGAACTACCTGCCTTTAATATATCACCCTGTGTTTCAATAAGCCTTTGTTTTAGAATAGAAAGCCTTTCGGTGTCTTCTGTTAAGCTTCCTGGGGAGAAAATGGGAAATGTTTCTCCTTGAGGATTTGGGCACTTTTTTGACACAGAATGAAAATGACCTTTTTGTACAGGAACAATACAAGAGTAATTAGTTTAATTAGTAAACAGAAATTTAATGAATAATTTTTCTGCAATGGACTTAGAGAAAAGGAGAAATCAGGAAAAAAAAGAAAGAAGTGTGGTTAATTTTAAAACTTTATTTTAACCTAATCCCTTTGCTGTAGCAGTGTTTAATGAGCTATAATTCATTATGTTTAGTGTATTTTTTGTGGAAGTTTATAAGTCAAACTAAGACTAATAAATTGGCTGCTCTCATTACAGTGCATGCCCTTAGGAAATATTTCACTGATTTGTTGCTTATTCTAAGTTCAAGTGACAGCTTTTTTAAGAACTACTCTTATCTTACTGTGCTGTTCTGACCTATTCAGATAAGAACTGTTCAATAATGTTGTTTCCAGCATGACTGGGAATGAAAAAAGTAAACTGGAAAATACAAACAAAAATTGGTTAATTGAGGTGCAGAAGCAAACAGTTAAAATACTGGATGTGATATAGTATATTTTTCTAGCATTCAGACTTACTTCTTCCCTGTGTGTACAGTTCTGACTTTTAAGGCCATTTTGGCTTCGGGTGCTAACTAATGCTGAGTCTTTATAGTTAATCTTTAGTTTATCTGAGAAATATTTGTGTACCAAAAGAAAAAAAAAAAAATCTCAAATCACTCGTTCATGCAGGAGTAATGGCCTCGAGTATCTTTCCTAGTGGGGATATACCTTGTCTTTATTTCATAGGGTAATTGTTCTCAGTATCGCTTCTCTAGCAATTCGCCTAATAACCATTTCTTATTTTCTGACAATTTAAAAATTAAAATATGTGAATTGCCCTGAAGTATGTTATAACAAAATACATTACGGGAATTATTTTTCATTACCTTGCCAACACTATAGAAGTTGGCCAACACAGGTTTTTTTTGTGTAAGGTTGATTTATGGGGAACCAACAGGGCTGATACTTTTCTTGTGATTATTTGATTGCACACTGGTTTTTCTGAAGGAGATAACCAGAAATATGTATTAGAAAATGGATTAAGTTAATGTATTAATGAGCTACATGTCATTATACATTTACCATATCTACAGATAGTGAATATAGATGCTGGTCAGTAATATGCCACAAATCATATACTGTTTTAGATATAACATAACTCTGTGAGTTGAATATATACTTACAGGATACTTTGATCAGTTTTCTCTCAACTCATCTGATGATACTGTGAAAAGAGTAAGAAACAAGAATAGTGAAGCAAATCACTGTTCTATTTGTGTTTTTCTTTCTTGTGATTAATTTTTAAGTTTCTTCCCAGTGAATATATTTGCTTTCCTTCAGAAGATAGAAATTGATTTCTTTTTTTGCCTACAATTTAATCACAATTTTCTTAGTAAGATTATGTCATTATTGTCACAGTGTCAGTTACCTATGTTTGAAAAGGAGAAGAAGGTTTTATTATGATCAAGAAAAACTGAACTGGATAATTTACAGGATAGTGAACAAGTAATTTGAATATTTTCCTCTAATGATCCATCATAAAGTGTAGACCTTCTGATTAATATCTTTCAAAATCAACTGTTGCAAATAACATTGACAACAAACATTTTCCTCAAACCCTGCTGATCACTATCTTTGTTTTTCAATAGAAAATACAATCTGAATTAACAAGCCATGAGATTAGTTTGGAAGAAATGAAGAAACGAAACCGGGGTAAAGATGGTGCCAAAAGAGTGCTTTCCCAAATTGATGTGGCACAGGTATGAATATTTTATTTCCTCCATCTGTCCTTCACTCATGCAAACAGCATGAATAATGCTGTTACTATAGTATGAGAAGTTCTTAAGGTATCTCTTCTGTTTCAGCTGCTTCTTTCTAGCCAGGAAATTAGAGTGGATGAAGCATACCAACCACATCTTCTTATTTCTCTTTTTTTCTATTACAGCCTTCCTACCTGGTTGGCAACAGTTCTAGGGTACACAGAGCTGATGTAACCAGCTGGTAGGGACACTGTATAAGAGATGTTTTGGATGTGCTGTGGTTGCAAGAAATAGAACTATAGTGAGGCTTTTTGTTATACTTCTTGAGGTATTTGAAAATATTTACAGTTGAAAGTATTTTAAAATATTTGGAAATATTTGGTAGAACTGCATTTGAAAGACAAATTTATGCTAACCAGGGGATTGCAGTCATCAATTTAAAATGTTAGCTAGTGCATTATTTCATCTAGCTTAATAGACATGGAGATACCTGTTTCAAATTGAGGAAGACTTAATTAACACTTAGGGACAATACACATTTTTACCCATTAATCTGTGATGAGTTCTTGACTGTTTTACTGGTTTTGGTTTTTGGCATTAGTGCCAAAGTTCCCCAGGCTGCAAAACAAATTGTCATAATTCATTGGGAAAGACAAACAATTTCATTATTGTATTAACAGTAATCTGGGAGATCTTTTTCTTAATGTCTCACAAATATTTCTAGGTATCGTATCTTCAGTTTCCTATTTTATCAAGCATATCCTTAATGGCTTTTTAACAGTTAAGTAACTTGAAATTAACAAGCTGATTTTTTTATGTTTCCTTTTATCTTTTTTTTTTTTTTAACAGCACCAGCTTTTCTTTATTGAGAACATTTATGTTTCCTTATTTTTCTGTCTTCCTTCACACTAATTCACTTTCTGATTGTCTCCATGGCAGCTGTGATGTTGCCCATATTTCATCATTGAAATGTCAGCATCAGATGACTTTGTATCTAAATGTTTATAGATTCAACAGCATGCAAAGGAGCACTACCTTTTCTAGGTGCCTTTTTTTTTTCTTAATCCATCTTTGTGCAGATATATTTTCTTCAAAAGGCTTCTTTAGGTGAGCATATACATCAGTTTGTGTTTTGACAAATTAGTAGGGTCATTTTGAGAATCTCTTTTGCTTCCATTAGACAAAATATGAACACAAATAGTTGTAGTTTTGCTTTTGATTACCTGCAGATCCTTTGCTTCTAAAGAAGATATTTTCCTCAAATCAAAAATGAATGATACTGACTTAGTTGTGGGCTTTCCTTTTCTCCCATCAGTTGTTGCTGTGCTTTTTGTCAAGGCCAGCTATGTTTGCCCTCTGATCATAAAGTTTGAGTATTGCCATCATTTCAACTGTTTATGTGAAGTAAATTCAAGTGACAACACATTTTAAGCATTTAAGAATTCTCATGTTATTTCTCACTAAAGATCCATTTAGCTGAAAACCATGTCTTCAGGCAGTGACAAGGTACAGTAAGGTGAACATTTAGTGACACTTCCCAGTGATTTTCAGTTAAGCAACTTCTGGGTCAGAGATATTGAAAAGCTCATGACTAAATGCTTTCTGAAGTCTTGCAAATTGCTGGAATCCTCAATTTAACTGAATGCTATGTGAAGTTGTCCTTTCTTTTGTTCATTTTGATTTCCCTATGTAAGAGTTTGACTTGGTGTCATCTACTTAATGAATTTCGAGAAACAGTTAGCAATCATTTGCTAGTCAACTTTTTGCATACTAATGCACTAATTTTACTCCTTCTCAGTTGTCTCTTCTCCAGACTGTCTAGTATGTTAAATCATAGTGAGACCTTTAGATACATAGCTGTGATTGTTCTGTCATTCTTTATGCATTTTCTATTTTTGCAATAAGTAATTTTGAGATGAGGTGATCAAAACTGTGCATATTATTCAGGCACAATATAGCTTTATGCAGTTACTTTTATACTGTGAGAGGTATTTTCTTTTTTGTTGTTTATGTTCCAAATCATTCCAAATATGAACTTTGATTGTTTGGCTGCTTTGAAGTATTGAGCTGATTTATTTTTTTTTTAACTAATGGAGATAAATGTAAGTATATAATATAACTCTTTTAGTCACCTATTGTAACTCAAGTGAGAGTGCTAATAGATAATTTAGATCTCACTTGTATATCAAGCTTAGTGTTTCTTTTGTGATGTGCATTGCTTAATTTTTGGATGAATTAAGTATAATTTACTTGGTTTTTCACTACAGATCTTCGGTACTGTGCAATCCTTCAGTGACTCCTCACAGATGGCTTTAATATTCTCTACCATTAATACTGTCATTCTCTCTCTTTTCTAGGTAATTTTTAATGTATTGACCAACACAAATTGCAACAGATACTGATATGGCATTGCAAGCTTCCCACAGGACTTGATCTTCATCAAGTTGAAATGTCACAGGAAGATGAAAAATTAATTAAGTATGAATTTAGTGTATGCAAACACACTGAAGAAAAATAAGACCATTTATTCCTACCCTTAATTTCCTATTTTTATTCAATTATTCACTTGTTTATGTAG